TAAAGAAGAGCTGTTAAAACATATGTTCTGTATGCCAGCAAGGTAGTTATAGCATGATGCTCTTAAAAAGAGTTGGCTGGGAGGTTGGTCTTGTCCACCTGAGAATGACAATGACAATGACAATGACAAAAATATTTATTTCCTTTGAGCATAAAAATTTACGAAAAATATAAATGCACAACATTTTTAAAGATCAAAGAAAATGGGAAATTCCTGAAGCATAGCTTGTAAATGGAAATCCCAAATTACATAATTATATATTTCTTTTACATATAAGGTTCAAAAATAATTCAAAGGCCTATTTTACTTAAATTAAAGAAGTTTAAAATTTAATAGAACAATTCTATTTCTTGATTGATTGATTAGCTTAGTTACTCACATTGGCTTAGTGGGTGTTCTGTCTCTTATACACATCTAGATGTGTATAAGAGACAGCCCTAGCTCGCCTGTATAAGCCCTATGTTAATGAAAAGCTTCCTCGTTTATGAATAGATGGGATTTATCGGTTTATCCACGCAAGTGTTCACAAAACAGACTGATCATTTTTGTTTTGTAACAAAACATTTCAATGAGCTAATTGTGAAGAACAAATTTTATTTTTTAAAAATGATACTAATGATAATAACAATGAATGTGATACAAATTGAATTTCTTACTTCATGGCATGTCTCCTGCTTAATGCAGCTGTATACATTTCTCTGTAGATTCAGAAGATCTTCCAACAACTGATGCCACTCCTTCTGGTCAGGTAAAACTTTTCTGTTAAAAGGTAAATTCCATAAAAAATTTACTGATAGTATCCATAAAATCTCAATACAGAACTAATTGATGGCCTAAAAATTATCATAAAAAAAACCACATAAACATGAAAAAAGTGATGACTTGAAATATGAATAGCATACTGATTATGATAAGACCTGGCCTGACTCTACTTTTCATAGGTTATTTTGACACCAACAAAATTGATCACTGCAATATGCCCACAGGTACAGTAATATAGCAAATATTGGCATGTTGAGTTTTGAAGGTTTTCAAAGCAATTCAGATTTAGGGTACAATTTTAATTGCATTTAAATCAAATCAAATTTATTTATTTTTATTAGTGATAATAAATATAGACTTTTTTTCAAATAGGATGAATGTGTAAAAACAGAAACGTATAATTCAATGTCCTAAATTGTGCTTTAATTGGTTAAAAATCATGTGACATAGATGGCAGCAAAATAGAATTCCATCAGCTTCTACAAACTGGAGCTGTCGTACCTTTTAGCAGCTTGTCGAGTCAAGCGTATCATAATTTTCGTAGCCTCTTCTTCATCTTGTTCAGTTTCCTTTAAAAATCTCAGAGTCTTCTCAATCTGATGTCGCTGAAGAAGCTCTTGGGCCTGGAGATGCTTATCAAGTTTATCAACAGCCCCAGTTTCCCCTTTAGATTTTTTCCGTGAACTAATTAAAAAAAATATTTATGCAGAAAAAAGTGAGTCTTGAATTGAAGGTTTGCATAGCAAATTGACAATAATTAATTAATTATGTGCTTTCGGTACACCATGAGGCATATACTATAAATCCCAATTGATGGTATTTGGTTCTGACAAGAGCCATGAAAATTGTAATGTTCCAATGTTTTCAATATTATACACTAACCATCTTCAAGGGAATAAACTATTGATTGAATGATTAATTGATTGATTGATTGATTGATTAGCTATCAAGCACTATACACTCAAATTGATATCTACATTTGGTCACTGAATTGATTGTATTTACCAAAATACTGACTATCACATGAATATGTGGAATGACATGTAGATTCTAAATGATGTTAAAGAATATCAACCCAATTTCCCTTATTAGAATTAAGCCTTCTTATTGATTAGTTAACTTTAGTTGACAATGACAATGACAATGACAAAAATATTTATTTCCATTGAGCATAAAAATTTATGAAAATTATAAATGTACAACATTTTTAAAGATCAAAGAAAATGGGAAATTCCTGAAGAATAGCTTGTAAATGGAAATCCCAAATTACATAATTATATATTTCTTTTACATATAAGGTTCAAAAATAATTCAAAGGCCTATTTTACTTAAATTAAAGAAGTTTAAAATTTAATAGAACAATTCTATTTCTTGATTGATTGATTAGCTTAGTTACTCACATTGGCTTAGTGGGTGTTATGCAGCTGGCAATTTGGATGGCTATATTCAACTGGTCAGTCCTATCACAAGCATACAACACATCCAAGGCTACTTCAGTCAAAAATGCTGAATCACTGATTATAGGATTGGCAACCTGCTAAACAAGAAAAATTGTTAACAAAATCATGGAAGGACAAATAAAAAGAAAACTATGGACTATAGAAATGACAAAAGCCAAAAAAGGAAAAGTATAATGGAAGGAAAAGGATAAAGACATCCTGATCTTTGAATATGCATCTAAAAAGTGAAAACAAATTGAAACATTTATGTAATGGAGGAGGAAAACCTTGTTCAGACAAAATGTTATCAATTCAGTGTAAAACAACTTTATAATTCCATAAATTAGAAATTCCAACTTACCCCAGGTTTTGAATTTTCGAAAATTAGTTTACATATTGTCAGATCCTCCTGGAAAAAAGGTTAATATGAGATTAATTTCCTTTAAATTTATTGCAATTTTTTGTTAATTTTAAGATACAACAATCGTTTGGGCAATGTTCTATAGAAAGAAAAACATGGCTGAGTAAACAATATGTCACATAATGTAATGTTGGACTCTTGATGATGGCATAAAATAATTATACTACAAGATAATTTTTTTAAGTGTATATAAAACAGATGAAATCAGTATGTAAAGACACTAATATTCAAATACAAACTTCCTAATATTTCTTTGTAGCTTTGTGTATGTGTGGGATACGTGATTACAATAAAAAAGATTTTAACCTTAGCCATGTCTACTAAATATTCTTTGGTTAGTTTATTTCTTTTTCCTGGATGTCGAATTTCACATTGATCGAGAAAACACGCAATCCACTTCCGATAATTTTTCACATACATTTCAAGTGTAGACTGGAAAAGAAAAAGAAAATGAATATTATTACTTTTTATTTGAGTTTCACAATTATTCAAAATTACATACATTTATATGGTATATAACCAGGCAAAAATTATTTGATTTCGTAAGACATTACTCAACAGATGTTCATTGATTAAAGAAGTAAAGCACTATAAAACTTCCAACTGATATGAAAAAACATACAATTATGGTCGGGCAGAATTAAATGTTTGATCAAACACAATCTGTTAAGTCTGACAAACAAAACTGAATGTGTAACTACAAATTGCAATGCAGAATTAGACCTTTAAGCCAGCAATCCTACATTATTCTCAGCAAGAATTTCATTAAAAGTATCAACGCCTTATAATGGAACATTCCTAACCTTTGACATCATAAGTTTCATCTTCTCTAAATCTGACATTTTCTGTAGACGAGCCAATGAGAGGCCAGGATCTGTCTGACATTCATACACCAACATAGACAAAGTCTGCAAGTCATCATAAACTTCTTCTAATCCCTGTAACAGTCAAATAAATGCAATTTTAAAACATAAACTAAACAAACAGGGATTTAGTATGAAGGGATGGGAAAGATTATCATATTGAAAGAAACTCTTATAAATTAAAATAATATTATTCATCAATTAAAGATGCAATCTTACCTTAATCTGTCCACTCATTGCAATATTTAGAAGGTCAAGTGCATTGTCCACCTAAAATTAAAAAATTGATGTAATATTAATTTTGTGATCATGATTATGACGTTTATTATCGCAAAGATAATTTACCATCTCCGTCATTACCCTATACAATGCTATTAACAAAGCCATCCCAATCACTAATATCATCATACATACCACTATCAATACCATCGTAACCAACACCATCTCTACATCTAGTACCATCACCACTGCATTTCCACATCACCAGCATCTGTCACTGAGCCCCAAAACACCCTCCTTTACCACCACCTTCACTACACATCACTAATCTACCGCCATCATCATTCCCACTACCACCACCAATCTCCAAGCAATTCAAGCATCATCACCATCATTATCACCACCACCTATGAAGCCGCTATGAAGCCTTTTTGCATCGTTCTCTATATTATTTATATATTGCATTGTTCTCTATATTATTTATATATATTACTATATAAATCTCTATTCATTATATCACCATCATTACTATTACACCCACAGCCTTTACCACCATCCCAAAATTCACCACCACCACAGCCTTTACCACCATCCCAACATCATCATACCTGGCTTGCGTATTCATCCATCTCTCTGGCTCTCATCAGATACCAATCCCTCAGGAGATCATGTGATGGTCTAACGCATCTGAACCGCTTCACCTCGGCATCCTCCTCGTACAAAAATGCACCATAATCGATAGGGTTCGGATAAAGGATTGCCTGACATGGGCTTGACTCGGACCAATCACCTTCACGGTGGGTGTACTCCTCCCATTCAACTGCTCTGTTTTCTCCACTACAAAAAGATAAGAATTAAAACAAAAATTAAGAAACATTCTTTTTTAAATTGAGTAAATAAACAGAATGTTATAAAGTAAAATATAATGTCTGAAGAGGATCGTATACAAACATATTTCTGAAAACGTGTATTTGATACAATTTAAAAACTGTATTATCTATGCCCCACCGTCACACATACTGTGAATTCAACAGTTCTTTTTCAGAAATATCTATGCGCCGTAACACAAGCATTTAATATAACTATTACTTTTCATTGTCTTATTATTTATACATTGTCTTATTAGTTTTCCAAAATATCTTTTATATCTGAATTTTATAAATTTGTGTAATTAAGTGGCTCTTGTTTTTATTCTTGTATTCTATGAGGGCCCCTAATGATCAGCATTGCTGGATGGGTCACCCTCTTGAAATATGGTATTAAATAAATAAAAAATAAAACATACAGTAAAATTTTCCTAAGTTGACTTTGCTTAACTCAAATAATTTCTAAATCGATCTTATTTTACATGCCAAATTGTTGTGTTTTCCATTAATTAACGATCTGTAAGTTGATTTTATCTAAATCGAAGAATTTTTCAAAGCCATTTTGAATTTGACTTTATAACAGTTCATACACTGCAAAAAAACGATGCGAACTATGATTACCATATAACAGGCAAAAGATTTTCGTAGTCGTGTGGGGGCGTTGTTTCTGGTATGTTTCCCAGGATTAGTAGCCGGTGTGGAAGAAGGTCACTTCCATGGTACGTGAATAGTACATGTAATGCATCACATTCAGAATTCTGTAAAGACCAAAATATAATCATAATAATTAATTAATATCAACAATATATTAAAATCAGAATAATTATCAATTAAAAAAATTTCGAAAATTCAATAAATGTAAAGCAATCTGTGTAAAACTCTGTCCAGACTATCAGATTTTCTTTGACAAAAAAACTGTTGTATGCCCATATATAGTCATGATGTGCCTATATATGGTCATGATGTGATGTCATCATGACCATATTTAGGCATGTCACATGTTTTTGTCAAATGAAATTTGACAGACTGGACAGGGATTTAGTTGGACACTCAATTTTAAAAATCAGAAATTTTTACTGCACCAAATTAATTCAAAAATTATCAAAGGAGCAAGTGAAAAATAAACCAGACTAAAAAGCTTTAGAAAATAAGAAAGTTTACATTAGTTACTAGTTGGCTCCAGCCAAGAATGTTATAAGAGTTCCCCCCAATGCAAATATTAATCAAAATGCTTTACTATGATAACTATATATTGCATAAATAATGATCAATATGACTATAGAATGCATTAATAATAAAACATAACTGATAATAATAATAATAGGTTATCATATTTGTGGCATATAATCAGTAAAAATGCTTTTAGGCAAACAATACTGCAAAGGAATAGCAAATTCATAAGAGATAAGTGTTGACCAAATTCTGCGTTTTTGTTGTGCCAGATTTTTATTCTCTGCATGTGAAGCGCTATGAAGCCTCTTTGCATTGTTCTCTATATTATTTATATATATTAATATTATTATTATTCTTATTATTATACTTCATGATAATCTATCCTTCTACTCATAATTTACTTGTGCATAGTCTATGGCAGCTTCCACAATGTTCTTGGTACGAAATTCATCAAAGAAATCCTTGTCATACTTCCTTAGGGCAGTCTCTCCTCCTCCAAGTATAGCCTGTCAAATATAATTTTGAAAATCAAAACCACAATCTTTAATAAATGGGATGCTTTATACATTGCAGCGCCAAAATATATAGATGAAGTAAAATCTATCGTAAAAAAAAAAATGATGCCAGGTTTTTTTTATCATCTCACATGAAATAAATTGTAAAACAAGAGTAAAAAACAAAAATTACCTCATAGGTTTTCAGTCGATCTAGATACATCAGGAGTTTGATACGACAGCGAAGGACTTCCATTTGCTCAAAAGTTAACCTGCGAGAAGAATTGAGTGTGCTGAGTTGCCGAGCGGTATGGAAAAGTTTTTACTACCTGCAGTATTATCATCATTGGCGTCGGTTTAAAAATTCTTTACGCAATGAACGCAACTGGATTTTGTGCACTTTAAAGAACCCAGAACATCCTTCGAGAAGAGTAAGGGGCAGTGGCACTTCTAGGAGTCTTGAAATGTGGAGGGTGATTGGGGGGCATATGAAGGTGAAGTGGGGAGGCTCAATGATTAGCTGAGAAACTCGCAAAATAAGGTGATTTGAGGTCATTTTAAACTACTAAAGTGCAATTTTTTGGAGGGCGACTGGGGTGCGCACTCCCTAGATACACCACCGGTAAGGGGTTACCTCAAGGACTGCTCCACCTGGCCATGTCATTGTAGAAAGACAATAAAAAGTGCAGATGTGCTAAAGTTACAGGCATGACTTGACCTTCAGAAGAGAAGTAAGCTTTTGAATGAGATTGTCTATAACTGGTTAACTTACTTGGAAAAGTTGATTTCCTTCAGCAAACTCTGCTCTTTTTTCTGAAGTCTTTCTCCCATTAAATCACTGCTGTTATCAAGGTCATCATCATCATCATCATCATCATCTTCTTGAAGACTGTAAATTTGAAATTATAAGAAAAATACACCATCTGCGTTTCATCAATATTATCATTAAGATTCAATAAGTTTATATTCAAGAAAGTTTATAAGCTTCCAACTGAAAATACATATTTTCCTCGCTAATTTAGAGATGTATAAACAGTCCTGTACCTGTATCATTTACATAAATTACACAAATCAATCCAGATATTGGTAGTCTATTTAGTGAATACTTACCTGGATAACCAGACTAATTGCCATTGTTCCCAAAAAGGAACACTATTTGAAAAAATAGAACAGCTAACAAATCTTGTTGCGTGTTGGGTACTAACGTTAACGTTAAGGTTAACGTCGTGCAGCGAAAACTACCTATTACGTCTACAATACTATCTGACGTTATGCTGCTCATCGCCTGCATCAAAGATATCAGCACTCCTGATTATACTAATGTCCTGAATAGCATGGGCAGAAGAAAAATTTGAAACTCGACTCGAAAGCCAAGAAGGGTCCCAGATACAAACAAATTCTGTAATCTATCCATTAAGAACTCTATTGCAAATATAAACGCGCTCTTGCTTGTAACCTGCTCGATGGCACAACTTTAAGTAATGAAGTACCTAATTCGGCAATTTCATATACACATTTCACAAAAGTTTTCACTCAAGAACCTCTAGAGGACAATAACACGAAAAAGTCAACGATAATGAGGTCGATACACAGAATATTTCTCGACCACTCACTAAATATTAAGTTATTACTGCCTTAAAGGGAATGAAAAGAGACGGTGCGGCAGGACCCGACGGGATTTTCTATAAGGATTTAGTTGCATTCCACTATAAAATTTGGCAACCCTATGTAATTTTTGGTTAATGAGAAAGAAAATTCCTGACACACTCTGTTCGACTTTTACTAATCTACTACCTATGGACGACCCTGTAAAAGACGATCCGTCTAAATGGTGCCCCATCACAATTGGCTCGTACCTACTAAGGCTTTACACAAAGATCCTAAATTTTAGGCTTGCAGATGCAACTATTTTGACAGAAGACAAAAGTCCTTCATCCCAGCAGATGGATGCCTTGAGAATACCACACTCTTGGAATCGCTAATAACTCATTACAGGAACAAAGGCAGATCACACTATATAATGTTCTTAGACCTAGCTAAAGCATTCGACTTGATACATCATGCCACTATCGATCGTGCGTTAAAGAGACATAATGTGCCAAGCCACTTTAAACTTGTTAAAGATCTTTATACAGATATAACAACGCGACTCCGACTACCTAGCTCTCTGTCAGATCCAATTCCCATGAGATGTGGCGTGAAGCAGGGATGCCCTTTAAGCCCAATTCTATTAAACTTAGTTCTTGATGGACTACTTGATAACTTACCTACATACATTGGTATGGACTGCCTCGGCCAAAAATTTGCGTACGGTATGTTGGTAAAGCCAAAACAAATACAGTATTGTCAAGACCATGCAAAAATGGTTAAACAGCATTCAAGAAGCTTTCTTGAAGCTATTTCACCAAAAATATGGCTCTTAGAGCTAAAACACTCCCTTGCAGAGGGAATCTATCATTTATGGGGAAGCAATGTAATGTGTAGGCACTGTAAATCTATATATCACAGAATCTATATCTCACATTCTTCAAAGCTGTCCACTTAAGCGTAAAGCTCAAATCTAAGGCCACAAAGTGTGCAATCAACTTAATAGATAAGAAGTACGACACCACAGTTACTGAACCGTTGATTTACACGACTACTGGAAACTACCGACCAGATATCATTGAGATTGACAAAATAAAAAGGCACGTCTATGTCATCGATGTTGCAATTCCCTTTGAAACCCACCGATCCATTCTCATTGATGCAGACCGATTCAAGACTATTAAGTATGGTACTGCCGATATCTTAAACACCATTGCTCGTCTCTCGCAAGAGGAGCCATCTCGTCATCCAAGAGACTCTACGGCAGAGTTAAAATGTCTAACAACCAATTCGGAATCCTCTCTGAACTCGTACTAAACTAAAAGGTTTTTTATACACATTTTTAATTCATTTATGCATAGATAATTGTCTTCATCTTTGTGATGCAATCCACAGGGGATCGGTGTCCGACCCCAGCACCAGAAGGAGATGACCCCTGCGAACCCACTACCTGTGCCAAAACGTGGCAGAAGCAGTGAAGCCATCACATGGAATCTTGTCAAACATGGACAGTGAAATATATAAATGATACAAAAAAAATGGCAGTTGTCAGTTTAATCAGGTAAGTATTCAGAAAAATAGAAAGCATAATCATTTACAAATGATAGTCTGGTACAAAATGTAACAAAATGAGGGTTTGCGTTTTTTGCTATATTATATTATATTATTATCATTATTATATATATTATTTGTTATATTTTTTTATGGGACTAATTGAATAATTAATTTTGTATTAAATCAAAATCAAAAATCAAATCCTTCCATTTATATTGCGCCATTCCAACAATCATTGCGCAGTGGACAAGATGTTGCTCTTTTCCATAACGTTCTCCTCCCCTGAGGGTTGCTTCATGTCCTCTGCAGCCTGTAAACCGGCGCACCTTTCATATATGCTAAAAATAGCTAAAATATTTAAAATGGCAGCCATTTTGAATTTCAATTTTGCAAATTTAAAGTAAAATATAATTTTTATTTTCATTGTCACTTATATGAAAGATTATTTTATACATTAGCATCTTTTATTGTCATAAAAATATAATTATTGGTAACAAAATTTTTGCAAATGGCAGCCATTTTAAAATTGCTTGCACATGAAAAAAAATGTAGCACATAGTTTTTATATTCAGTGTAAATTTCTCAGTTTAATTAGTGACAGTAAACTGGACTTGGGATGGCATGCCTCATATAGTTTCTACACATACATTAAAACTACAGTAGGAATGCTACACACTCAAAATACAGAATGTACTGTACATAAATTTTTATCATTTCAAATGAATTTGATCTAACCTTTGGTATTCCTGCGAATCCATGTCCAGTATTGTCTTAAGTTGAGTTCTTCGCAAACCGTACTGCAAGAGCTCCTCCGCTGCCTCCAGATCTTCGGGAACTCTTGTCAGACATTCTCTTAAAACCCATGACTGCTTCTGAATCTTATTCTGTGCAAGAAAATAGAAGTAATTACTAAGATATTGCAAAGCAGGAGGAAAGATTATTATTATTTTTAATTTTTTTTTATTTATTCGGTATAAGTACTTAGACACAAGAAAAATGTTGATAAGCTCCAAGTTTACAATAGTCAAACAATTAAAGAATTCAAAATACAAATAGATAACCATCTTACTAAATAGTCATAAATGGTATTCTTTGTAACCCTGTTCTTCCTCCACTGATGCTGGTAAACCTGGTCTGTGTCCAAGTTGTACTTTTGGCCAAGGATCAATGCTTCGCCATATTCTTCATTCTCAATCTAAAAACAAAAGATTTCCACAATGTTAAGACACAACACCATAAAGATAATATGCTTTAATGATGATGACATCACATCGTCTCATATACTGAATGTTACTTTCAGGGCAAGATAATTTTTATAAAGTGCTTAATTAACAATTTAAATACAAACCTTTCTAGAAAAAAATTCAGCTGGGGTCGTTTTCTTTAGTTGTAAGAGGCGATAGGTCCTAGTAACCAACCTAGAATTAAAAAAATTATCAAAAAAAGATACAAGTTTAAGTGATATAGTGAAAATATATTTGAGAGAAATTTATATATATTTTGGGATACTTTTAATATATTTTCCAGTGGCAAATTGTTTCAATTTATTATGTTTTTTTCTATTTATGTTGTTCATTCCTGTTGGGTCTTATCAAAAATAAATAAATATGGAAAAGAGAAGTAGAAGTATGAAACTAATAATAATTTGATGACACCAGTGCCAAATAAAATGATGTACTGAATCCATCCATATTGCTAAATTATATTTTTACGTCAAAATCCAACATTTTTGTTAACAAAAAATGATTTATGATACTACAGTCCTCGTACTTAGGTTTCTTTCTTGGGGGTTGAAATCTTTCACTTTCAGTGACAAAATACATCATCTGAAAAATAAATTTTTAAAAATTATGAATTGGGTGAACATTTAAAATTACTTATATAAGAAAATACATATTTATAACTGCTGGCAGATAAGCTTATAATTTGAAGATAATGTATGTGCAAAGCCTATCAAAAGATTCAAAGATCAGGATCTTTACTTTTTTAACAGGACACAAGGATAAATAAGGGAAAGCGGTTTGGTGCAGTGGGAATGATTTGGCTTCGCAACCTCAAAGGTCGGAGGTTTCAATCGTTTGCTGTGCATTTCACTTGTGTCCTTGAGTAAAGCACTTTATTGCTTCAGCCTACCCAGATGTATTGGTGGGTACCAGCAAATAACCTGCAGTGGATCAGCATCACATCCAGGGGGAGCATAACATTCTCATCTGCTTTATGCTACAGAAGCTCTAGTGGCTCAGCAAGGATATACTTTTTACAGGAACATTATGCAGGCTTAATATTCACTGTTACATCAGCTAGTTTAATCTTTGAATTTAGTGATTCTGTCTTCTACTTACTCTTTTGGAGAGGTTTATCCCACGTTGCAGGTAACTAGCATTTTCATATTCGTCATCATCATCTTCTTCGTCCTCAACAACAAACTCCATTCTACCTGACAAACTGTCATCCCGCTGCCTCTTGGTACCAGAAACAGCTTCACACTGGAAAAAAATCCCACAATACATTGTTATATGTGATGATAATGAAAATACATAACTTACAACGTATTAATCAAAAATTATCTTTTTGACATTACACAAAACAAACCTTTAAAGTATATTTAAATAACCACAATAACTGCCAAATCAACTGCAACAATGTGTTGAGCAAGAAAATAAGAGTTGAGAGTCAGTTCTATGTGCAAGTGATTCCAGAAATGGACAATAATTTACCTCAAGTGCGATGAAGCCTTCGTTGAAAGCTGGCAGGACCTGTGGCATTGGATGCATCCATTCATGTGATTCTCCGATCAAGTTATTTAAACTGATTGCAGATGATATAGTAACATTACCATTACACCAAGCTAATATCAATGCCTTCAAAAATCAACATATTTCAATAATGTGATATTTTGACAAAGTCAAACATAAGCTAAGTTTGGGTTGTTTTATAACTTGTCTACAAATTCAATAACGGTATTCACTATTTAATTAACTTTAAGAATCTATAATAATTTTCATTCATACAACAAACATATACAGACTAGAATACACTGTCAAAATCAATTACATTTATAACAGAAGAAACATTAAAAATATATATTGTGTTAAGGTTTATCAAATACGATAAATGAGAATATACAATTATTTATCATCATTCCTGATGATGACATAATTAATGTCGAAATATTGAATCCCAACACGATGGCGTGTATTTCAATACTTGGAGTATGTATTATACTTTCTTATCTGAGATTAATCAGTGGACATTTCGGTTTTATCTATATGCATTATTGCAGTTTCCACACACACTTTCTTGATGAGATAGTATAATACATACTCCAAGTATCGAAATGCATGCCATCGTGTCACGCTATCGTGCATTTCAATAATTGGAGTATGTATTATATTATCTTTTCTGAGATGAATCAGTGGCAGGGACGTATCCAGGGGGGGGGGATATGATGACGATAGTAATAATTGATAATATTAATAGCAAATAAAAAGTGAAGAAAATTGTGCTAAATGCGAAAAATTTGTGATTTGTTGATCATAATTATTATAGTATATATATAGTTAAAGCTTAGTAAGCTATAGTTAGACCTAAGTTGTCCTGGATATTAAGTAAATCCTTGATAAAAGATCATGAGAAATTTGTTGGCGTTTCATTTTGACTATAATGGTGATGTGATGATGATGAATTTTACTATATAAAAGTGTCATTTCCGGCCACCTCAAGAGGTACTATTTCCTCAAATTTTCTCACCTCAGCCCCAGCCATGGTGGGGCCGAGTTGGTGAAATCACGTTTTTGAAGTAGGCCTATGTAAAGTACATACTCAAAGACAATGTTTTTAAGCTTTGTTTTCAATGGTACATCACACACACATTAATAAGATCTCTATGGTTGTAAAAAATCCCTGATAAAAGATCATTTTTTTTTTTTTTTTGGCGCTTCATTTTGACTAATAGTGATGTGATGATAATGAATTTTACTATAAGTGTCATTTCTGGCTATCTAGAGGTAATATTTCCTCAAATTTTCTCACCTCAGCTCCAACCATGGTGGGGCTGAGGTGGGTGTCAACTCACAAAATGCCATTCCCCTCCACCTTTCAAAGCAGATCTGTGCCCTTCCCTGGGTACGACATTAAACTCCATTGAGTCGGCTCTTGATGTATGTCTTAGTGACTGTTGTTTGTTTTAGGATATGATCTGGTTTTTCATGTCCATTTTTCATGATTATGACTATTCTGGATAAAGAAGGGATACACATCTAGCCCCCCCTTCATTTTTTAAGGGAAAAAATATATTCAAATTGAAGTGCGAGAGTGTAATTTACGGCCATCTAGAGATGCCCTAATCATAAATTTTCTTACCTCAGCTCCAACCATGGTGGGGCTGAGGTGGATGGTTCCTCGGTCTGTGAAAGTCCCTCCCATGGTTCACCTCTCTTTCGAATTCCTGGATCTGCTACTGTTGATTTATTATATAATTATTTTTTCTCTTATTTATAATGCGTCTATTGCAATTTTCGCTTTATCCTCTCAAACAGTTCAAAGAACGTTTAGAGTGCGCTACTTCACAGGGGGATTTGACCCTGCCGCGGTCCTACGTAATTCGCATAACGGCTCCCCCCTTTCAAAATCCTGGCTATGTCCCTGATCAGTGGACCTTTCGGTTCTTACTTGATGCTTATTAATATTCATGAATAAATTTTATCTTACCGAATCAGACCAGAAGTTAATATCAGCAAGGCCTTGGCGGATTGGCTCTAAAAAGCAACAAATTAAAAATACAAAATTCAACCAATCAAAAGGATTATTTACAATCAAATTATTGTCAATCATGAGAAGATGGACATCATACAGTTAAGAGAAAACAGAAACAAAATATAAATGATGCTATTTATGCACTGTCCACATTATAAATTTTCATGTGAGAGATGCCATATATGGGTTTGATCTATTATCACCACGATAAAAAAAAGTAAATAATGTGGACAGAACAATTGGGTTTAATTTATTTTTGTCAATATATCATTTAACTTTACCTTTACCAATAACAGTTTCATTCCTCCTTGTATTTTCAGACTAAAATGAAAAATAACAAAATTTGCTTCTAAAAACCAATACAAAATTCTATATTTTCTGTCAAAAAATTCTGAATTATAACAATACTACAAGCCACATTCGACACACAAGATATATTTTTTATTTCATTTCTCAAAACATTTGCATCAATACTTTCATTTCATTTACTTCTATAAAACAATTTACCTGCTGTTCCACTGGCCAGTATTGTTTCCTGCGTAGTGATGGTAGTTGCCAAAGTGATAGTGCACCTGACCAATGAAGAGCTGCTAAGACAGATTCATTAGCAGACAAGCATAGTTTGCAAATCCCATCCTAAATATAAAAAAAATTAAAAATACTGTTTAATTAAATGATATAATTCATCTGTTTATTCAATTATTTTTAGTTTCAACTATTGTCCATATGTTTATTCATTCAGCCTTCCACGTATTGTTTATTTATTAATTTTGTCTACTGTTTATTCGCTTTCGTTTGTATTTGTCATCCTGGCTTCTATTATTCTTTTTCATAATTACATGCAATGTTATTTACATATTCATTAGATGTACCTTTCATAGATTAACCTTTCTTATAACATTTTCTTATTCATCTTCTTATCTATTCATTTTATATTTTTGCATCCTTCATTTACCTATCTATCTTTATTTAAATATTCCTCGATTTATTACAAATTGACACAAAAAATTGCACTACCAAGTTCAAATGATGTTAAATTTTTAACCTATTTATATTCCTTGATATACCGCATATATAGATTCCAGGCATCTGACTGGTTAAAATCAGTAATAACTTTAACCATCACTCCTATGATGTAGGTGATGATTCCCAGGGAAAAAAGTACTATCATGTTAAATGATAGGCCTAGTACTTTTTTTCCCTATCGCGATGTAACCTCAAGGCCCACTTACAACATCACTGTGTAATGACACGCACAGCGTTAAAAGGGACTGTGACTTCTCAACAATAGAGATTGGCCCTTAGTTAGACTGCCTAATGCTTAGGCCAACTTGGTTTGTACTCATTACTTTTTTAAGCCTCGCAGAATATACGTATGAGGTATATAAAACAAATTGATTTCACCATTCCACTCATGAGCAGTCAATATTTGTATATCATAGTAATAACATTATTGTACCTGTTTTTGGTGTGCTCCAAGAAGTCCACTTGTGCGCATGACGTTCCTCATTCCTAGAGACATTCTCCTTGCCTACAAAAAGTAAGTTAAGTGCTTAATTTAGCTTTGTATAATGTTCCAGATAAAAATAACACTGGCACTACAGTATCAGGTAACCACTTATAAATATGGGTGGAGATCCAATGTGAATAAAGTCCCATGGCAAAGGAAACAAACAAGTGGCTAGGCTCAGGCTCCAACCCTTGTTGACTGGCAACAGCGAGGTGTACAACTTTGCCATAATGCTATTACACAAAATACTTTAAAAGCTTTTATTAACATTACAGATACAATTTGTTAAAATAATAACTTACAGTACTTATTTGCGTTGTAAAGTCAGTAAGTGCTTTGAAGTAGGGATGTCCGGACAATTTCCTCCATGCCGTAATCCCGTGGGCCTGTGCCTGAGACACCTCCCTATTATCCGTTTCCAGTATGTTGGAACTTCCCAGGATGAGTAGCGAATGCTTCTTATCATAGGTGGCAGTGGCAACTCCTTGGGGGCACCCGCTGATGAAGGAATAGCAGTAGTTTTTGATGAAGTCTCCTGTAATGCTGGTGATAAAATAGAGAACAGGTTTTCAAATCGGGTCATTTATAGATTTATTCTAGTCCTAGTCTAGATCGCCTTACTTTTGATTACTTAATGCTTAATGATTACAACCACAAAATTTAAAGAAAAGTCTATTTTACAAAAAGAAAATTTGTTACATGAACATCCAATCTTGTGATATGCGTAAAAACACACTTTTACTTAAAGTAGAGAGTAGATTGTTGTTGAATGATTATTAATGATCAAACATAACTAAATATATACAAACCACTACCTTATTAGGTAACTTTGCAACTTTCCTTGGTAGTTAATTGCTAACAATTCTGTTGACCTAAAAAAATATAACAAAATATTAACAGACACAAATTAAATTCAATATTAAAAGGGTACCAAAGTTAAGTGACAAAAACTAATTCAGAATCATTATTATTATATTGCATTCTGGGTTCAATTGATATTGGTATACATATAATTCATATAAACATATAAGACAAAAAACTACAAGAGGCTAAATGTGTTATTAGATTTGCAGTTATGTTCACAAATAAAAACTTAAAAAAAAGGTTATCTGCAAGAATAAGAACCAAAATTTATGTTTCAGTTTTAATGAGACCTACAATCTTTGACAGCATTTGTGCTGCGTGAAAAATCATGGTATAATTATTGAGACGAAGATAATTTTTTTGCAGACGCTAACAAATGTTGTTTTTTACTTGTTGTACATAATATTAACCACAAATTAAGCTTTGAATTTCACTATCTAAATGGTCTGATATTATATTAAAGGGTGAACACTAACCACTGAGTATCATCTTTACAATCCACAAACACAAGTGCACACAAGGCCTGGCTTAGGTCAACAAATCCCGGCTCAGGCACTGGAACCTGCGGAGATAAATAAACAAAACAAATCGTTAACGGAGTGTAGGCTGGCCTCTCTCAAAAACAATTACTTTTTATGCTACTTTTTACTGAAGATTGACACTTTCATTTGTTACATGTAAAATCGCAGAGAGCGCTATCTTGTTGTTATAATATCTTTGCAGTGTACTGTAAATGAACAGATGCAGGTTGCAAGTAAAACAGCAACAAGAAATTTCTAATACTATATTACTTAGTTTAATAAAAGATTGATTACACTTGTTAAACGTCTCATAAACTCACTGTTTGTCTAATAATTAAAATATAATTTACAGTCCTTACCGTCTCAATGGTGAACTTCTCATTGCCAAGTAGATCAAAACCCATTATGTTGCCATAGCTAGTTGACATGGCAACAAACGTAGAATCAGAACTCCAGACTAGTTTACGAAACTGGGGATATGGATCTTTTGGCACTGAAATTGACGTAAAACAATAATGCTTTATCAAAACTGGTTTATTTTTATGTTAATCATCCATCAACATATTATATCATTTGAGAATTATTTATACATTTTTGTATATTTGCTTATTCAATGCAGTTAAGATAAGACAGTGCAAATTTTCATCAATAATTTATAAATATATATACTTTTTGTTTGTTTATCTATTTATTTGTTAACATGTTACAGAGTGGTCCATCAAGCATAGATGATCATTTGAAACCGTCACCCCACATGATTAATGAACAAAAAAACAATGAAAATACGAATCGAAATATAAAATTACCCACTAAACAACATAACAATCTACTCAAACAATTGAAATACGTAACTGAGTAACAAATATTCAGCTTAGCTTACCTAAACTCCTTCCTTTTACTGTAGCAAAGTTATCTCTCTCTACATGAATTTCAACTGATGTTTCTTGCAAGACAGCTAGCATTTGACCCGTACTACAAAAATCAACATTAATAATATATATTATGGATCAAATTCAACATTTAAGTTTAATATTTGAATTGATCAATTGTATATTAACTTATTAACAATATCCAGATATTATAAAGATATTATGAAAATATTAAGAAATTATTATGCAAATTTTCAACAAATATCAACAATATAATCTTGCCATTAAATTAAATTTTAAATATTGCTTATCAATCCAACTTACCTTACCAAATTATATAAGGGATTTAAAGCATGTGGTAATGTTACAAAAGAGCTCTAAGGCTTGCTTACTTGTCGATAGCTAGCTGCCATGCTAGTCGAGAACTGATGACTTTTAGGAGAGCTTGAGGAATGGAGGCAATAGAAGGAAGTGATCTGAAACAAAACCAATTATTTAATATTATATTTTAATATTGAGCCTTGACAGACTTCAAATAAATTGATAGTTTAAGGTATTAAAATAATCTTAAGGGTTATTATATTGTATTTGTTTACATAAAATTTTGAACTGAGCTAGCTTCCCAGCAAAACCATTACCAGTTGATTGATTAAAAGTTGGATATCAAAATCCTGACTCCTACCTCCACAAGGCTTGACCTCTAACCCATGACCACATTGATTCTGTTGGAGTAAAAATCATAAATTTTATAGTTTATTTCTTTTTTATCCCACCAGAAACCACAACCTTTCACATACAAATGAAACTACACTTAGCAATTTAGCAACCAAAGTTATATGTGACCATTAAAGTGTAGGCCTTATCATTATCATCATTATCTTGATGACTTGAGACTCCTTTACTTCATTAGGATAAACTTACCAAGTAAATGTATAGATACAGGTACTGCATTAAAGCAAGGAGTTACAACAATAAAGACAGAACACAACAAATGTACATCCAGCCAATTTGGTGTCACCAATAGTTCTGACCTATTTTTTTTCTCTACCAAATACTTTACAACTTTTCTAATTAACATATATGGCAGGAGCCAATCACCAGTATTAAGAATAATTTTGGGAAAAAAATCAATTAACATATAAGGCAAGATCCAATCAGCATTAGTTGGGTTAACCCATTTTATAAAAGGGTAAAATTAAGTGACATAGACTGTACATATTTTGTTACATTATAATAATAATAATAATCATATTTATTCATAAATCGCTTTTGAAACAGCGGCACCCATCACTTTGATGGTGCATCCATACACAAGAAAAATATTCAACACATCAATTCATCAAAAGGCATAGGCCTAGACTAGTACAATTAAAAAAAAAACCGTTAAATAAATGTACATGTATGATTAGGTGAATAATACATAAAAAATGTAAACAAGTAGTTATTTGGTCAAAGAGAAAACTGTAGGGGTGTAGCTGTTAACAAGTAACTTATCTTAAGTATAAATGCAACGAACATACACAATTAATATATACAGCATAAAAAAATACAACAAACAACTAAAATACTGTAAACTTAATCAGGAAAAAACTCAATTGGTCATTTGACATGAACTTTAACTTGCCAGGCTAGACTTAACACTTGATCTTATTGCCCATGCCTTTTTAAGATATGACTTACAAAAATTATCAATAATTTTATGGGCAGAATCTGCTACATAGCTTGGCAATAGGTATATATTAAATTGTTAGGAGGAACTGAAACAGGATGCTGAGAATTAGGAAACAAACATACTACAGTAAAGCTACAGATCTAAAACCACATTACTATATAATTAATGAATAATTAATCATCAACAAATATAGCATCATATTACTGTAATTAAATATAGATTATAAACAAATTATAAAGTATTCTCGAATGTGTAATAATAAAAAAAATATAAAAATATTCAAATAAATTTGAATATAGAGTTGTACTATAAACCAAAGGATCCACTGGTTATTTGCAAATAAAATATTGTATAGTAACTACGAAGAATGACAAACATGAGGTCAGAATGGTCATGGTCATGTTTTTTATTAAACTTCATTCTTGAAAATGTTTTAATAAAAAATGAAACATAGAATCAATTATGGCCTCACGTTTGTCATTATTCGGTATTACCAATGTGATTGTTACACATGTACTGAATGAATAATGATCTTACTCTGTTTCTCTTGTTGTCCATCTTTCACTGGAGCATCTGAAACTCTACTCTGAAAGACAAATAATTTTTCAAACTTTATACCATTTTTCCAATATTAGAAACATACCTTCGACAAGAAAACCAATTATTGTGTTCAATTTGGGGGATTTTTAACTTTTCTTTGTGGCAACAGATAGTGACAATTTAGACCAGGCAACTTTTAAATCTAATTATAAATGAGCTAACTACTATATAAATATAGCTTACCCCTCCTCCCCTCCCCACCCCAACCTCATTCCCATATCCCCACCCCAGCTCTCTCCAACCAGGTCCCATGACCAGGGGGACTGGCTGTATCATGTATGTTTATCATCAATGCCAACAATGGATCATTGATATATTTACAAGCCCGTATCCATGCATTTTTAACCTATGACCCGAGCAATATGTTGGCCAACAGTGTACAGCTGGCGTACTAATTAATGCGTAACAGTCTAATAGGGTTAGGCCTAAAATAGCCCTGTACATACTAGCCTAGGGAGGGGGGCGTATTGTGCCACAATGCAGCGCGGCCGAGAGTGGCTCCTCTCTCTCTCTGCCCTAGACAGAAAAGCTATGCATGCATACTTACAGTCTGAGACACCAAATATTCCGGCTCTTGTGGCCAATCTGCTAATACAAACAAATCATATAAAATTGTGCATTCATCATCTGTTTCGGTTTCCTCCATTTTATTATATTTGGAGTAAACTTAGGCTAGGCCTAGGCTATGGCTCCACGTACCGTATTATTTTGTTTGATGGCGCCACCTATTGTGCACGGTTTATGTTTATCATGATTTTGCGGCTGTGCCAAATCGGCACTGCGGCAGTGCCGATAGCCACTACCGTCATGGCGTCGGATAGTCAAGGGCATAGCAACAAGTCCCTATCTAAAAAGTCATTTGAAATAAAAATGTGTAAGAAAGTGGCAGAACTCACACAAGTGGTACACATGTTGTTTACTAAAAATCACGAAAGAGAAATTGAAATCGCTACTATGACCAAGGAGTACGAGAGTGAAATAAGCCGACTTGTGCACACGCATTCGGAGAAGATACGAGCCCTCTCAAACGATGTTAAAGAGATTAAAGTTGCTGAAGAACGGGCTAGCCAAAAACTGATTCAAAATGAAAAAGAGTGCAAGTTCAAACTCGAGCAACAAAAGGAGGCTCACATTAAAGAACTAAAATCAGCTGAGAATGTAAGAGATGATCTTCAATTGAAGATTGATGAGTTGTTACGGCAAATAGATGATTTGGAAGAAGAACTAGAAAAAATCGGAAAGAGGAATGACCATTTAGAAGCTGTTTTACAAGAGACTAAAGCTAACCAAGTTAGCCAAACACCCATAACAGATGCTTTCAAGCAAAAAAGTGAAAAGCATAATGATAAAACAGTACTACCAGAAGAATCAGACCAACTGTTAAAGTTAAAAGAACGGTTAGAAGATGAAAAACAAAAACATGCACAAGAAAAATTAGATTTAGAGAGTCGTCGAGTGAAACTACAATGCGATTTGGAAGAGATGGAAATACAGATGCAGAAACAAATTGAGGATGCTCTCCGAGAGTTAACAGCTGCGGTGGAAAGTAGGGAGAGGATTTTGGAAAGAAATGAGAAATTAGAAAATGAGCTAAAAGCCCTGAATGAAAAATTAAAACTCTCGCAGGAAATTAGTGTCCAAAAGAAAAATAAGAACTTGCCAATTAAAAGTACTGCTACTTCTCCTCTTCCACCAATTGTAAGTTGATATGGAACTCTGACAAAATGTATAATTTTGAATTGATAATTACTCATAATATTTTATTTTCTTTACAAAGACAACCTCAATCTATGATGACATCACAGTACATTAGAAACCAACTTTATTTGTTCATCAGTTCGAATTTGAATCCAACAGCTTGTATCACTTTTTTTCTGAGTTCGTTTCATACTAGCAGATTATGTCAAACTTAGTGAACCCCATGGTTTTTTACAATACAGTACCTTGAAATATTATATAATTATTATATATATAATATGTATATATAATTTATATATATATATATATATATACTGTACTCGGGCGCTGACGGGGTCGGAGTGTCAGGGCCCCCAGCATGGATCTTTAACAAACTCTCTGACGTCACTGAGTAATTCATATATTGAATAATATATTTTTACAAGATGTTGAGATTAATACAAAAAGTTTATCTTTAACATCTGTGTAGACCTACAGTTGGTTATTGTATGCATGCTTTTGTTGATTGATTTATATTTTACTGTTTATAAATTACTAACTTTTCCTTCCAGGAGGTGAATGAAGAGATGGAACGGTTAAAGCGTGAGATTAAGCATTACAGATTGGAGCTGTCAAATCGAGAGGGCAATTTCAATCGTATGTTTACCAACACTTTACCTGTTAGGCTCAACTTCAAGCCGTCCTCTACAAATTTATCAAGGGGGAGAACAGAAGTTTATATGGCCAGATCTGGGAAGCCACGTCTACATCAGGTATTCAGTTTTTGGATATGTAGAATAATTTTGAATAAAATATCAATTAAGAAATTCTCACAAGGTCAGGACATACATTTTGCAGCGTTACTGGTACCCAGTTACCAGGTAGCATAGACATGAAGGGACCCTTGGGGGCAAAGAAAGTCATTGATCGAGCTACTAGTCCACATCAATTGCCATGAACATCTTGTTTGTTATTCATCTATCAATTTTATTTTTATTTTGACAGTCTTCATCGTCATCCGCTGATAAATCCAGAATCTTCTATGAACGTCTTCCAACACTGACAACTGAGCACATTCGTCAAAAAACAGCACGATATCCCCGACCAGAAAGTAGCCTAAAAAGCCAAAGGGATGCACTGAATAGCTGATCAAAAACAACCTGATGACCACGACCAGCAAGTAGTGTGAAGTGCCAATGAGAAGCATTGAAACTGATTCCAAAACCGCATGATACGCACATCCAGCAAGCAGCATGAAGAGCCAACGGGACACATTGAACTTTAGCTGATTAAAAAAAAAACATGATATCCAAAATATCACCTTTTCTTTATCGCAACCTTTGTATGTGTAACTGTATTGTCAACACAAGAATGTTTCCGTTGACATCACACGTTCGTGTGTAAAGCCATGCACTCACTGTGCCCAACGGTTTTCAGCCGACGCAATTCTATAGAGGACACGACGCCTGTGCAACGGATTGGTTTTAATGACGATCAGCTCTGACTGGCGTCGACAAACAAGCAATAGACAGCATTGCACCGTCTATCGCTCACAGGGAGCAGAATTGGATTTGTCGTTTGACGCAGTGAGTGCCCAGCTTAAGTATGTGATTAACGAACTGACATATTATCAATGTAAATTTAAAGCTGTCTTTTCTGCTAAATAATAATTAAGGTGTAACTCATCCAAGCTCAGGTTTCAAGTGAAGTATTTAATAATTTGACATTCTCTAAACCACAAAGGGTGGCCAAGCTTTTCTGAACTTCTGACGTTCTTGTGGGGTGAGAATCATACTCACCTCTGGAATATACCTTTTACTGTTCTCTTCGGCTGTCTTCTGCAGAGCCATGTTTGGCTGGTGATAAAGTGGCTCCGAACAAACAGGAAATCATTCTGTAAGCGATTGGTTGCTTTAACAGATCACCATTTTCCCACCAAGAAATCCTAGAGCATCACGATCTTCCTTAGGAACCTTAAACTGGAAAAACATGCATTCAATATTAATAGCAGAATGGTTGGATTCTGCCTATTACAGGTGGCCTTATTTCAACACTCCTTAGCTCGATGCTCATATCTTAAGCAGCCAAAGCACAACCTGTTCAACCAAAGTATGTTAATCTGCTCTTGTGTAGACTTTACTCCTGAATATTTCACATTTACCTATGCCATGGTCACCTTTCTTGCAGATGGAACGCATCTGTTTAGTTGACGGTTTTGTTGGTGTGTATGGGTTGATCCCTCTTAGTCTCTTTTGTATCACTGAGTCTATTAGCATAGCTGCCTCTAGCTCTTCTGTTTTGGTTGGGAGATGATCCCCGTTTGCGTAGATCAGTTGGATAATGCTGCCCTCCCATACGTAGATCATTTGCCGCCTTAGCTTTTGCCTTACAAACTGTTTTGCCCTTACTAGGGATCTCCACTTACCATGCAACAAAAGCTTTCTCACAATATTCTTGATATTTTTTTTCTGAGTACTCCATAACAACATACTTCTGGTTGCAGATTTTTCATATATTTTGTAGATCATTTATACAGCACCTGCACAATGGATAACATTTTTATTATTTTTGTCATTTTTCTATTGACAACTCAATATTAGGAGCAATATTTGTGATGGTAAGTTAAGTAAACTGCCTGTCTTCCGATCCCAAGTACAAGTTTAGTCCTTGCTAAGGTCAAAATATCTTGGTATTACACTTTTGTACTGCATTGAGATAGTTTATTGTACGACTGATAACTTGTTTAATTATCCCAGCATAAGATAATATGTTTCATTGCATTGTTCACCACATGTTTTTAATCAATTTTGAAATTATGTATTTTCATACGTAAATGATACTAATAGAAAAATATCTATATATTATATAACTATATGAAAGTTTATTAGGATTTTCAAAATGTTTTTTAAAATTCTTTATCAAAAAGAACGAATGTATTGTGGATAGTGTTATTGATTTTGTACAATAAAGTGTGGTTTCCATAAAATTGCTACACTTTTGCTGTAGTGTCTTCACTGCAATCTTTGGACTGTGAAACTGTCGCTCCCCAAACCCAAAATCGATCGACCAAGGGCATGTAGTTGCTTATGGTGCAATGAAGTTAGTCTCCGGTCTTAAAACCAAATTATCATGGGCCTGGATCCAATATAGTTCACATTGGCTCTTATCTGTTTGTCTTCCTCCAGCAAAATGTGCATTATTTTGATATAAAATTGCAGATTTATAATATTTTTATGAGATTGTTTACCATCCTTTTTGATATATTTTATACAAATTTTATCAGATAAAATATTAACACTATTTTAATAATTATTTGTTTATAGAATCTTTTGAATGCTGCAGTTTGATATTTTGAAAATATTTCAACTGATTATTTACATGTACAATGTGGAATACACTACTGTATTTTAGTATTTTATCAGATACTTAGATGTTGTATTATAATTTCATGGCCTACACTATACTCCATTTCTATACAGTATTTATATATCATTGGTGAAGATGTTTCTTTTACTATACACCAAATCTGTATTATGCAGTAGATTAAGAAAAAAAATTTCCTAATAGAAAATTCCAAGAGAGAATACCAGTGTGGTCTCATAGGTCAGTTGCTGCAGCAACGGATGGTGTTGGGTTCGAATCTTGATGGGTACAATCACATTTTCAATTATCTAGCTTTGGCATTTTTGACGCACATTTTTTACTGTTATAAGTCTATGCACAAGTTAACCAGGAGAAATATTAATTGTGTCATGTCGCAAGATTTAAAATGACAATAAACTACACAATAGAATATAAATCACCTAATTCATTTTGTTCTTTATTTAATGTTTACACATTTATTTGCTATGGTGAAGAGATTGGTACAGTATTCTAGATTTCAATAATAAAAATATATGGCATTCAGCATGTTAAAAATGTAGATCTACATGACAGCCAATCAGTGATTAATTATTCAGATGTTTAAATTTTCAATAGGCTGTAGAATGAATGACATCATATAATCTCCAATTGCACACCAAGTACATCATTTAGCCCTTGCAGCAAAATATTGATTTTTGAAAGAATGTATTGTTAAAGGTAAACTTGAGTTAAAGTTTGTTAACTGTTTATCAATGTTTAGGCTTTGGATTAGTTGTTGGCCTTGACAAAAAGAAGAACCAATTTAAACATTTTCAAGTTGAGTTGAGTCTGTTGATGTATTTTTACCCAAAAACTCATGGAAAACATTTTAAAAATAATGAAAGTAATACTGGTAGTTAATCTTTTATATTATACTGTATTTTATTTCATATCAATTGTTATTATAATACTGTACAATAAAATCTTCCTCTCAATATACTTAAACATACAGTAAGGACAGTATATCATAACTGATTAGTTACAGAAAATATACAGAAGAATTTTATCTACAGTATTATCTATTGCACACAACGTAAGTTATGGTATATATTAACTACGTAATAATAATGCATAAAGAAAGAGCATGCTAGAGAATGACAAGCTCAGGCCTGTCAGGAACTTGTACGCAGTGGCATATCTATCCCCATTTGTGGCCCCTCAATGAGCTAGCCTCCCCAACCCCCACACACACACACACTGTCCCCATTTCAAATGTCATCATTGTGAGTTGTAGATCTCATATTTTGGACCAATTCATATGTAACAGTCTGTACTTTCACTTTTCACTTTCTTTCACCATTCCTGTTTATTCAATGTTTACTCTCTTCCAAATACAATACAATAAGGCCAAATTAAAAAAATTATTGTATTGGCCATGCCCAACCGACCCAAATTTTATGAAATTCAGGGTCAGCATTTTAGTTTTTGTTTTGTTCTATTCTGTTTTTTGAATACAAGGAACAGTATTTTTTTTTTCATGAGCTAATAAGGTTCAAATAGGTCTAGCCTGTTTTGGTGCATGGTATGCAATGCGAAAAAATTGTATTATTTTGTGTACTCCATACTTTTTATGCATAAACACATTTTTTGTAAAGAAAAAAAAATAAGTTTTCTTACCGACCTACCCATTTTTTGGGGGGATTTTCCCAATACAAGTTTTATATTGTAACTCTATGAACAGCATTTAAATCCTGTAAACTTTTGCCTTTTTCTCACAAATAATCAAATCTACTCCCACCATCATAATGTTTCTTCATTTACTGGTCATAAATGTATAACAAATATTTCATCCATCCTGTAAGTGGAAAGTAAAATGTTTTAAAACGAAATTCATAGGGACCTGGAAGAATCATCAGCAAGGCGAGAAAGTTATTCTTAGGTAATGAATAAAATACAACCAATCCTAGGTTCATTGGGGATCCCCTTTACCTCCCCCCATATTCAATAGCCCAACCCATATCCATTCCCCATACCCAATACTACCTCCCCACACCAAATACCTCTCCCATATCCAATACGCTTCTCATGTCCAATAGCCCTCCCTATACCAATATCTCTTTCCCTCCCACATCATGTGTCAGTTAATAGAGGGTACTGTGTGTAAAGCACTGCCTTGACTTGGACTAACATCTTCATCATTACTATGGTTATCGATGTCCAGGAGTACTTGTTGAGGGCTGGCAGATGTGACTGGTACCTGCTGCCCTCTATTGGTGAGTTCTTGTGGCTCATGGGGCTCAATGTCCTCTATCGCAACTGAAATAAAAAATAATAATAATAATAAACTTAAAGCTATTATTACTGAAAAGAAAAAAAAATTAACTTTATAAGAACACACATACTGTAGCTGAAAAAGAACATAGGAAAAAACAGAAAAGAACTAACGTTTAAAAGCCTCTGGATATTCTGTAGCCAGCTTTGTTTTAAGAATCCTGATGAAATAAAAAAGAAAAAATTAGGAAGTCTAATTTTATGCAAATTATAATATAATACTACATTTTATTTTTATATACTACAGGACAGAATCAGGTATTATTTAAAATATTAATTCATTAAATTAATTAAACCATAAATATTGTAAATATTTTAGTTGGTGGCAGCATTGATCGACTTAGAAACCAAATCAAATCATGATAACTTTGCCCGTTCAAGCATCCTTAGATGTCATATGTAATACAGAGATGGGCCTATAGTTATTTGGGTCACTCTTGTCACCATCCTTAAAAATGGGGGTGACTTTTGCACATTTCCATTCATCAGAAAATTAAGATTAACAAAGACAGATTTAAAATATATGATAGCGAATCACAAATTACAGGTGCACCAATTCTGAGTAATTTACAATCAATTCCATCAAGGTCTTTAGCTTTACTGGAAGAAAGTTTACAAATTTCAATGAAAACAAACTCTTTTGTGATAAAGTAAAATTCAAACCTATCTAAAACATTACAATAATTTTCTAAGACTTTATTCTTGTATTCAGTGAAGTTAGAAGCAAGATTTGTTCCAACAGAAGTAAAGTGGCTATTGAAAGTATTAGCAGTTTCTTTATCATTTGGTATCCATCTTTAGTACAAACTTTGTTGATCTTTTGATTATTTCTAGGAATAAGTTTATGAATAGTGTCCCAGAGCTTCTTTGGATTTTTAGTACTGTATTATGCTTAATTGAATCAGTTATGTTTTTTCTTTTAAAATTGCGATTTAGTATGTTAACTTTGTTCCTTAAAGATCTGGCTTTAATCCTAGTCTTCAGGATCATTTGTTTTATGTGCTCTGGAGTAATAGTAATCTCTGTCTTTTGTTAATCTCAAATATTTGTAAACTCAGGAACTGAGCCTTTTTTATTTTTTAAGGGTGCATTTTGATCAAAGACATGATTAAACCATGGACCTATGATTAAACAGTTGTTTCCATTGAGCCCATGCTTGGTTTACATCAATAAAATCTTTCATCTAATCCCAGTTTGTATCTTTAAATATTGTTTATAAAGGTATGTTTATTAAAATTAAAAGGACCTGGATTAATCACGTTTGGTGGGACTTTGACTCTTGGTTTTTTACGTACAACATACACAAGCCTATGTACACCAGAGGTATGATCTTAAACTACATTAAATTACAAAAACAAAATTTGAATGAAAATAAGTATATTAATATATATATAAAATATATAAATACAAGAAACAGAAAAGAAAAACACATGGGTAAATTAAATGAGATTTTAAAGGATTGTAAGGAAAGAGAATGAATATTGCTTTGAATATCTGATGATAGATTGTTCCATAATTTAACTGAGCAATATTTAACAATTTTTTTCCAAAAACATTTTGGCAGGATCAAAGAGTTTTTCCAATTATGTAAGTTAGGCAAAAAATCAACTGTACTGTTTAACTATTTTGTAAATCATTAATATTATCAAAGTGGTATTCCCACATTCTACTGTGATAATTTATTGTGATCCCACACAAATGTACAAAATTTTTCTACCTGATCCTTCTGAATATGCTGTCAATATCCTTGCGCATACCATGTAGCATGGCAGTATGACCTTTGACCTCTGTAGACACTTTTTCAAATTGGCTCATTGATAGGTGATTGAATTTTGCAAGCATTTCATTGGTTTTCTCAAAACGACCCAACCTAGAATGAAATTATATTGTGAAATTACCTATTAAGAATCAACTTAAGTACAAAATTGTATACAAAGAATTAAGGGTTAGTCATCAATGACTTGGTGGTATGGTGCCTAATTTTTAATGTGCAAAATAAAAGAATTTTTAATTCTGCTACATTAGGGTGTTTTTATATTTGATATAATAGATGATAACCATATGGCCATTAACAGTGGTGTATCTAGGCGTGTGCGGGGGTGCATGTCCCCCCAAAAAATACTCGCCCCCCCCCCCACCAACCCAGTCGGCCTCCCCTTCTGAAAAATCACACTTAAGTAGTTAAAAATCACCTTAATTTGCGAGATAGAACCCCTCGAACCCCCACTTCACCTTTGTGCCCACATCAGCCCCCTCCCCCCGCAATTTCAAGACTCCTACTGTAGATACACCACTGCTTATTAACACCTTTTTATGTGTGTCAGTGCTGTAGTTAAGGTACAGCCAGCATTCATAGGAAAATCATATAAACAATAAGGTAATAACGTACATCATGGCCTGTGCATTCAAAACTGCATTCATGTCATCCTCATTAACAAGCGAGTTGAGACTTTCAACAAAAACGTCTGAACCAGCATTTTCAGACATCTTCCACTTGGTTACAATATGTTAAACCAAGATATCACTAAGCTTATCTTCACATTCTATATTATTCTACATCTAATTCAAATCTGAAAAAAACAGAAGGAAATAGTAAAGATGTAGTCAAGTAAATTTCTTTATATTTAAACAAACTGAAAGAAAAAACGTGGCACTCAAATAACGATCGGTCTCAGACATGCATTCCCAAATCATGTAAAAAAAGTGCAAGGTTGCTAATTTGACGCTGGCCGCAAGACAAGACATTTACTATAATGGTGGTGTTGTAGGTGAATTCTCATGGCATGGGGCATATATTGGCATTCACTCGGAATTTAATAATTAACAAATATTGTTTCCTTACTTGCTACTTTAATGGTAGCCCAATACTAATGATAGGACTCCTCTTATTAGCACCAAACGTTCCAACTTTACTGATTCAATCAGAAGTCTCCCAAATTTTCATGCAATCTCTCAATCTACTGAATTTTCAGAAAAGAACCCCAAAATATCAAAACGGATTGAGTATTTCGGTGGCAATATTTTGTTTGTGTGGAACACCAAAAAAAAATCAAATTTGACTTATATTTTGCATTTTTTCATGTTTAGGAATGTCTAATTTTAGTTGAACTAGCAATTTTGTCTTATAAATCTTTTTAACATATCAAAATCAGATTTTCCATAAATGAAATTTTACCAAAAATGGAGCTTTAAAAGTACACAAATTTTGTTACACTTTTAAGTTGTCCTTAGTATCAACTAAAAAAAAAAAGTGTCTGTTCTGTTAATATCAAATGTGTTAACTCAATGGCAAAAACATAACTCAATGGCAAAAACATAAGTTACAATATATAAGGACTTATAATATATTTTGTTAAATTTTGTAAAAAAAAATGATCTGGTGGTTCATTATTCCAGTCTAATTATAGAAATCATATGTTCGAATCCAACCTCTATCAGATTCTGCAAACAACATGTCTCTACCTCCTGACTGAGTCGGAGAATTGGGAATCTGGAGTCTAAATTGCGGGCACGTTTGCGAGGTATTAAACCAACGCACAATGCAGCTCCTATGTATAATCAAAGTACAACGTGTGCACTTCCATTTTGGCTTATCACCAAGAAGCGAGTAGCATATATCACATTTTTCCATATTTGCACGTGCCTACCTCTCCAGTCTGCAACATATATATTTATATGACAATGTTCATTTCTTTACAGTGCAACGGTGTTGAAATTATAAAAATGAACTTTGTAGTTTCATATTACACATATTACCCATCAAAGCAAAAAGGTTTTTTTTTAAAACTATATATCTGCAAACTCTTCTGTAAGTTATTGGTACGATTAATGAATATATATTAAGTAATTGACTACTGATTTTAATTGGAAGAGGTTTCTAATCTATGAATATTCATACATGATGGATGGATCAAGGTCCTCAATTTACCTTATAATATATGCCATGTACTTGACATGAGATAACACACACTATCACCCCTCTCTCCTTCTTTACGCAGTGATTAAAATTGTGTACCTGCACAGCACTGATCTTTCTAAAGGAACTATTCAATGTTTTAAGGTGTCATTCACAATATATCAACATTTTCAGCAGTGTACAAACAGTTATCTTTTTCGGTACCCCCTCCCTCCCCTCTACAAATATACAAAAAAACGTTGATTTTGCAAAACCTTTTTCCATTTTCAACTAAAGCAATGTACTTGTTTGCTTAAAAATGAATATTATATCAACGGTTACATTATAATTTTACAATTATCTTACATATTGCATGTTATTTTGTATCAACATTTTTATGAGGTAAAAGTGTACAAACTTGTCTACAACCTCCCCCCTAGCGTACTGTTTGTATATATATGTTGCTTTGGTATTTGCAAATGGTGCTGGTGGCCACCTCTGAAACCAGCCAATGGGCAATCCAGCTATTATTATTACTATTTAATCTCTCATTTCATTTGTTTCGAGGTTACTTTAGGTGCTGTGAGGAAGCACCCATTTCATCACCCCCTTGATGTGCCTCTAATGACCAGAATAATAATGGGGAATAGTACTGTATTAACTAGAGCGACATTCCTCTCTAAAATCTCTAAAGCTTCCAAAGCTTACTTTTATTCAATGTTTTTTGTGTTTCATTATCTGTACCGTATTGGGTGCTAATGCACTTTAGTAAATTTAACAAAAATCGTATTTATGACATTATCCTTATGTAGGTATGTGACAATCAACCGAGAGCGTGATACCATGACACTGCTATCATTTTCTGCCAGCAACTCGACTGTCTACACAGCCCTCTATTGTTTTAAAAAGTTTCACACTTATTTCTTTGCCCTCGTTGCATGCTTTCAAATTCTTCTTATTTTATTAAAATATGTCTAAAAACAAGGAAGTTAAAGCCAGGGTTGCCATTTGGCCTTTTTGACAGCCAGATTCCTCAAATCTGGCCGTATAAAAAATTGCCTGGCCGTAACGTTTGAAAAGTCACGGCCAAACTATATTTGGCCGAATTTTTGAAAAGTTTACATTTTTTTTCAATATAGGCCTAATATAACATAGACTTGTTTTGGATATGTTGTTTTTGTTAGCTTAAATCTATATTTGATTCAATCATGTACCTTTGTTTGTACTTGCACGAAACACTTAATCTATGTTCCCCCTTTAGCCGATTTGACATAAGAGGGTTTATTTTAAAAATAACAGTTACATTATAATGTAAATTGTTTAGATTTATATATTTTATATGAAGTTTATCCTCGTTTAAGCTTTATGAAGACAGTTCAATGCAAGTTTGTACCATATATTGTACTGTACTGTGATGTGTGTCTTTGTATATGTTCCATCCTAGTCAAGGTTCTATCTCTTTTGGATTTCTTTTGAATATAAATTAAATACTGTACATTAATTTTAAATTATTGCCCACTTGAATTATATAGCCCTGGGTGCTGCAGTATTCTTTATGTAGAGCGTCATATATAAATACTCGATGCGATCATTCGGGTCCGATGACACCTCCAATTTCAAGCAAGTGTTGCAGAGACTTCGAAGTTACTCTGAAGTTAGCTGGTTGCATATGAGAATGAAGAAGATAATTCTGATAGCAACATTGATTTATTGCTTTAAGTACTGCGACAATAACATTCAGAGGCGAATTTAGAAAGTTATAAAAAGTATTTATTAAAGTTTTAATAGGTTTGTTTTAACGCCAGTTTGTGTTACCTAACTATGTAACTTAAAGAGAGCTATTTATTTTTAACATTTTTTGCCAATAACAGGCCTTTAAAATTTTTGCTATAGATCGACTACAATGTACATTAATATTGCCAGCCAGCAACACTAAAGAACATAGGCTATTTATTTTTAACATTGTTCTGTGTATATCATTTGAATTTCTTCAATTTCAAACGAATGACCGCTGATTTTTGTATAATTTTTGTAATATTCAAATGAATGAACCCACATGTTGCCTTCTAATCGGATTAACAGGGCCGAATTTTGGCCAATATAGAAAAAAAGATGGCGTGTGTTTGGCCGTGAAGCCTGTCGACTATCTGGCAACCCTGGTTAAAGCAGTTTTGATCATTTTTCAAGAAAAATGTCACATACTTTTCTATTATTGGTGATCCGCTACACTAGCGGATCACCTCTTGTTATTGTCAGGATCTTTTTTTTCTTCTTCTTTCTTTCTCCCCTTTTCTGTTCGCACGATATCTCAAAAAATGCCACGAGTTACACACAATCCCTGTCAGCGAACATTTGGCTTGGTCTGGAATAGACATGGTAAGCTTTTCAACACGCTCAGTCATGCGTGACGTCATCTACGCGTAATTTTGCGTTTTTACATTATCGATCATATCAGCCTAACCAATTGCCATTTCGAAATTGTATTAAGTGAGCATTAACTTTTGGTTAATGTTGAATGTACTGTACCCTAATTTTACGCGTGCGCTTCATAATGCGCGCGCACGTGTGCGTCAAAATTTCAAAATGCTCGAAATCACTTTTTAACTAAATTAGAGCACGTTTCAGGCCATTTTGAGCATTTCAAATTTTTTTTTAATTTTCCACTACGCGCGCGCATTTTTACGCGCACAGCTCATACGGAAGCTAGACACTATGTTTTTTCACATAGTTTGGGTTCCTGACATTGTTTTCACAAACTTCCATTCTTTTTGGTCATCTTTTGGCCAATAGCAATACCGTATGTGCGCATCAAACATAGGTATCTTTGCGCGCATTTGTGCCCCTATACAGTGAAATTATGCTAAAATCTTTAGGTTGAAAGGTGACCCCCAATTTTTATTGCATATTCTGAAAGCACATAAGTTGTAAATATGATTTTATAGATCATAATGGCTGATCGGACATTGTGACGTCATCATATTGGCATCTGAATTCAAAGAAAGTGACTTTAGAATGAATTTTTTTAGCCCTTTTATCTCTCATTCTTAAAAGATGTAAAACAATAGAACAGAGTGAGGGCGGCAGACTGTATTTCGACGCTATCAGACTAATATATATAGGTTATGTGAAGGGAAAGTTCGTGTGGCATTACCAACTAACAGGCGGTTCTAAATACACTTGACAATGTTTAATTTTGTGTGCTATTACTGTACACACACACATGGTGACGTGCGTGTCTGTTAAAATTTGAAAATTCTCCATATTACTATTCAGATAGATTAAAGAACGTTTCGGGTCATTTTCAGTATTTCAAAACTTTCCATAATTTACCCGCCGTACGTACATTTCCACGCACACAGCACATATTAAAGCTGGAAATCACGTTTTGTTACATACTTTGTGTTCCTGACACATTATTCATATCAGGAGTCACTCTTTGTGCTATTACCGTGCTCACGGGTGTCAAGACGTATGTGTACACATGCGGAAATCTTTTAAAATGCTCAAAATTATTCTTTTAAAAAAAAACTAATTACAGCATATTTTAGCATATTATGACACTTTTCAATCAGCACCGCGTGATCTTAATGAGGGTCAAAGTGCGGCGGATCACCTAGGTCCTAACTCGTCCTCAGTGACGAGTTCAAATCTAGTTGTTTATATTGGTTTTGAAGGACCAAAATTACTATTAGGCATAATTAATAATTTCTCAAATTCTGTAACACTGTTGATATTTGACGGAGGACAATGATTTTGGTATCACTATCAATTCAATGTAAAAGTAATGCTACAAATGCTCTTTCAAATGCCTAAAAGGCTAAAGGTACTGGCTGCAAAGGAATTCCTTGCATTTGAATTTTTTGTCACATACCTACCTTATGTATTTCCTTAGCCTAGGCTAAGACCAAGCTAGGCCCCATAGGTTAGATAGCTAGCTAGCTAGGCTTATATTAGGCTAGCCTAGGTTAAGCCCTAGGCCTACGCCTAGGCAGATTGCTAGCTAGCCTAGGCCTACCTACTACTACATACAAGGCCTAGGCCTAGAGAGAGGAGAGGCTAAGCTACGGCTAGGCCTCACTCACTTTATTAGTAAGAATGAATGTGAATGCATTTATTGAAATATGATGGATAGGCGCTAAATTTAAAGAATATCCACCAAAAACCATAAGATATTACCAGGCATTTCCATAAATTTCATTAAAATATTACCTTTCTAACGATCGACAACCTACGACGGAAAGGTCAACTTTGTTGAAAGCTGACCTCTTGTATCAAAATTCACAGGTAAATTTCATAGTCAAAAATATACAGCTAGACCTATGTCTAGCCTAAACAAATTAATAAATATTTTACTCAATAATTTGCTTAGATTATAAATGTTGTTATTTTTTTTAAGGGATAAGCCTAGGTGGGTGAAATATGAGAAAGTGTTTTGATTATAATTTTGACCCTAATGACATAACATGACGTAAGTGGTAAAAAAAGTAAACAAGATCATAAAAGTGGTGTTCGTTTGCAACTGCGGGAGCATAGGTGGTGATAAGAAGAGTACACAAGTGAATTAAGTGTGTATAAATAACCACACGAAATTTCCACTATTTTATAAATATAGAAATTGTTTAATCCTAGGCCTATATGCTAGAGGAAGAGGCTGTTTTGGATGTTGACCACCTCCATTCCAACGGCAGGAGGAGTAATACTAAGAACAGGACAGGGTACATAGGCCTAGCTAGGCCTAGGCTTTTCCAACTCTGTACTTCAGAAATCATTCATTCAGACCTGGTGCCTTTGCAACAAATCAAAAAACGGCTGGCCTAGCAATGGAATTATGTATTATGTAGGCCTATCAACTGTCTTCATTATAAACAGGTTGAGAGACAAACTATGTATGAATATGATAAATGTTTAATAACATACAATGTGTGTGTTTGCATAAATTTTTTAACAAAGTCATGAAATTGTAAAAAAAAAAATTACAGTAATGTCACTGAAAAGAATGAATAGCCACGAAGATTGGGAGGTTGTTAAAACAAACGCATTTGATGCAAACAGGCCCCGGGCTAAGCTGAAGTTCGATGTCGCATGGAATGAACATCACCACAAACTAGCAATAACATGTCGTCGTGAAAAAGTTCGGTTTGTTCAGAAGCGGTTTAATACCTCATTGAAGAAAACTCCACCCAGTCCCAAAAATGGAAATGAGAAAAATGGACAACATGAAATTAATGGAACAAGTTGGACGGGTTTATTTAGCTTCCAAGATGTGAGATATGCACATGAACAATTGTGCCTGCTCAGCCCCCGTATAGGGGAATACCCCCCAAGTCTACCGTACGAAACAAGGGGCGTCTGGAGTTTCTTCTTTCAGAATGAAATCATACCAGATGAAGTGGAAAAATCTGTGCGAGTCTATCTAGACATTGCTGCAGATGTCTGCGACCAACAATTTCTCATTGATACGCTGTTTGAAGTTGATGCATGCATAGAAAAATACTTGGAGGATATGGGCGAACTGAAACAGAGAGAGTACGAAAACGACGTTCAACGAATACAAGACGAGTATGAACACTTAAAAAAGAAAAAATCAGAGGAAGCCAACAACATGATGAAGATGAAGGAATTTTACGAAAAAGAGGATGATGTTGTTTTTAAATTATACCAAAGTTTAGCAGAGTTATATAATTTGAAAATTCAGCCATTCCTAGATTTGCGTGAATTAGCGTATAGTAAGCAATTTGAAATTAAGGAAAGCCTTCAGGATGAATATCGTAGTGCGGAGAAACGAAAGAAACTGGGAGAAGAGTATGATTCATGGCTGGAACAATTCCAAACTGCGATTGAGACCATACATGATTTGCAAGTGCAGTATTTCACAAAATGTGTTGATATAAGTAAAGGTAATACAGTGTTGAGATTCCAAGTTTGGTTAGTTTCAAATGAATGTTATTATTTATATTCTCCATGTTAAACAATAAAACTACAGGTATAATATAGCTGCACAGATATTTGAGAGGGAAAAAAAATAAAAAATAAAAAACTCATTAAAACAACTCCAGCATCAGATAACAGAATAGAGAATAATAATTTAAATGTAATGCTTTAATGTTTATAAATATTATTATTATTTATGTGTACATTTTAATGTGTGTTAATCATACAGTATTTAAATATTAATTATGTAATTCAAATAAGAAAGTATAATACATACTCCAAGTAACTGAAAACATGCCATCTGGTTGGGATTTAAACATTAGATATGTCATCATCAGGAATCATTCTTGATGATAACATAATTTATTTCAAACAACTGAATCCAAACATGATGGAGGTGTACATTTTAATACTTGGTTGGAGTAAGTATTTTATACTTTATTATCTGAGATTAATCAGTGGACCTTTCGATAATTCAAATATTTATTTTGCTTTTAATTTAAAAATATGTTATTGAAATTGAATTATTCCCATCGTTTTTATTTATCTTTTTACAGGAAGAGTACAGGACATGATAGAAGACCAACCAAACTTTGGCAGAAATACTTGGGAGTTGTATGGGCAGCCTCGGCTGCATGATTTGAAGCAGACTTTGTCACAAGAGAGGAAACAACAGCTAGAGGCCAAGAAACAGAAGTACAGATACTCACAGGAAAAAATACAGCAAGAGGTAGTAGCATCACAAAAAATATTTTTTAAAGTTGTATAGATGAACATTTCTTGTAAATGTTCTTTAAAGCTTTGGCTACAAAAATCAAATTTTATGTGACAAAAAAAATGTTGTATGCACATATATAGACAAAGCTTTAGAAATGGTCTGCTTACTCAAATTGTTTCGACCTCTATCAGACATCAGAGTAAGTACTCATAACTCCAAGAAACAGAGATTGGTTCTCTGACCTGTGAGTAATAGATTGTGTGTGATAGATTGATTTATGATTTGGTAGATTGATTAATTATTAATATATATATATGCCTCATTAGCATAAGAATACCACACATAAGGCTAATTCAAGTTTGACGGCTTAAACCAGCCAGCTTCCTATCCTGGTAGCTGTTATAAGTCATTGGTTGGTAATTCCATTTCTGCTTGTGACAAGACTTGATGATTGCTTTTGCTTCTTTATAAGATACCTTGTTGGTGAATTGTCTTTTTTGTGATCCTTTTTTTTGCCAGTGCATCTGGTTTCATTATTTTCTCTAATGCCGCAGTGTGCCGGTATCCATTGTATTACAACTTGGTTTATTACAGCATTTCGATTGTTGAAAGCGGTTGACAGAGGATTGAGTTCCTTGTTTTTTGCATCATTTAGAGCTTCTAGAACGTAAAGTGCATCAGAAAAAAACACCACTTGTCCAGTAGTCCTTATCGATGTGAACACAAATATGACTTTATTTCATTAGTTTTTTGGCGAATTCCGGGTAAGAATAATTCGCCAAATTCTGTTTTGATATTTAAAAACTGGGGGAAAAGGGGGCGTAATTGCCTATTTTTACACTTATTCCCCCAGTTTTTAAATATTAAAAAATCTGTATCTCATTCACCGTTCCCCAGTTTTTCGTCAAATAACTTTTTTCTGTCTTAGAAAAATCAGTTCTACAACATATCAAAAAATTTTTTTCCTCCGGAGCCTTAATGACAGTTATTGATTATTTGATAGAATGTTTGATCCATTTGTTTATTTAATCCCAAACATTTCAAATATTTAATATTACTGTTATATAATAATAAAGGTATTATTATTAACATCATTAGATTGCAATGGTTAAGGAGGGAGCTGGAATGAGGCGGCAAGTAGAGGAGTTAGAGGATAAACATCATCAACTACAGTTGAAGGTGTTTGATACAGAACTTGCAATTTTACAAGAACAAGAAAATGAGCTCAAATTTGAGGAAGCAGCCATAAAGAAGGACATAGAAGGTAAACAGTTGTGTTCATCATCTTAGGGCAAATCTAGGATGCATCTGCTTGGCACGTAAATGAACAATTGCGAACCTGTGGCCTGAGGAGGAGGGTTAGGATTTTTTCTTTCCTGATGTGGGTCATTGGAAACTCTGGAGTTTTTAGCCATTTTGACCTTTTATCTCAACAAATTCATGCTTGGTTAGAGATGTATTTTTGTTGTAGTCAGGGGAGAGCGGTCTTTTTGCCACCCCTTAGATCTGCCATGTCATCATCATTGTTGTCGTCCTTATCATTATTTTTATCATTCAAATACACTCTTATTATCTATAAATAGTTGCTACCTGCCTTTTTCCTGGTGGTATCCACTTTGTGTGCACTGAATCATGGATGCCTCTATAATATTTCTTTTTTATTGTTTAAATATTTTCTGGATTTGTCAAAGAATTAATTAGAAAAATATATTTTTATGACTGGGTTTTATCTCTTTGCAACTTTTATCCCACCAGAAGAGAAAGAGATGGAGGAAAATGAATTCCATGATGCATATGAGAGTTTAATTGGACTTGATGAGGATGATGAAAACGAAAAACCAACAAGTACGATGACTCCAAAACTTAGAAAAGTAGCAGCCAAAATGAGTCGTATCAGAAAAAAGAAAGCAAATATTAGAAACAATAAGGTAGGATGAGCCTATATTTATTTAGTTTATTTACTTCTTGTTTTACTTCTGGTAAACCTGTTTAGTATCAACCATTCCACCTGATAGGGCTCAGCTGCTGTGCTTCATGAACTAAATCTCAATGAGTTTTTATTGTAGTACAGGGGTGGATTTAGGCATCCCCACCCCTTCCCCCACCCCTTTTGGAAAGCTTAAAAATAAAGGGGGAAAAGAGAAAGAAAAAGATATTATTGATCACCCAGAACACCTCAGAGAATATTTCTGAGCGTCTACAAAAGAAAATCTTCCTGGACCCCCTACAGTAATGTTGTCTCTTGATCGCCCCTTTCCCCCACTTTCATACATTTTTTGGATCCGCCCCTGTAGTGGAGCTGTGTTTACTTGTTGGAAAAAATCCTGGTTGCTCTTTTAAAGCATTCCTTCATTACACCTATGGAACTTTATTATATTTATGAGCAAATTAATAAAGAACTTTTTATATGATTCACAGCAAATTTTTATTAGCACTTTTGAAAACAAGTTGAAGGAGAAGGTAGTTCAAGAACAGAAAGAGGAAGACCATAGGAAAATTACTGTGGTAGGTGTTAGGATCGTAGGCCTTTCTAATAATAATAATAATAATAATAATTATAGTGTAGTTTTATACAGTGCACATATCCATTTAATGTAAGATGCTGAGGTTTTCTATCAAATAAAATATACTAAGATTACAGCCAGACTCCAGAGGAAAAACAAATTTTGATATGTTGTACAACTGATTTTTCTAAGACACAAAATGCATATTTGATGAAAAACTCAGGAAAGTTTCATGAGATACAGATTTTTGAACATTTAAAAACTGGAGGGAAAAGGGGCGTAACCACCCTTTTTTTTTTCTACCGTTTCCCCCAAGTTTTTAAATATTCAAAAATCTGTATGTCATCAACTGTTCCCAAGTTTTTCGTCAAATATTCTTTTTGTGTCTTAGAAAAAATCAGTTCTACAACATATCAATTTTTTTTTCCTCTGAAACCAGGTTTTAAAGCAGCAACAGTAGGTGATAGTTTATGGCAGTATACAAAAACAAAATATTAGGCCTATTATTATATCTTGTAAAATTTACAGAAAATGGAGAAAAGAGAAGTTGAAACTAAAGAGAAGAAAGATTTCATTGATGCAGAAAGGCAGAAGACCTTACAACGTCTTAAAGAATACAAATTAAAAATGGTGAGTATATGCAAATTAGAACTGGTTTATCCTTCAAACTGATATGATTACATTGATGGTGTTAGGATGTAGTATTTAGATGGAAAAGTTATTGAGCAGGGGTTCTGAAATGTTTCAGACTTCTGATCGTGAGATCAGTAGTTCGAGACTGCGGCCGTCGCATTGCTTCTGTCCTTGGGCAAGGCACTTTACTTGCATTTGCCTATCTTCACCCAGGAGTATAAATGGGTAGCTGGTAGGACGGTGTGGCAATGAGCGTATTAGGTTGTGCGTATATAGGAGCATGACGTGGGATACTCCCCAGTTAGCAGAGAAAGTTGCACAAAAATGTGCTGGTTTGCCAACCTAGTATGCAGTGATCAGGGAAATAACGACGCTTTGTATATACTTCGGTTTGTGATAGGCCCCATATAAATCCGGATTCTTAAAAAAAAAAAAAACAATCCATAGCACCTAGAGAAACTGAAGCTTCTAAAGTTTTTCACCATTAGTCTGTGTCAACTCGATAACAGATTAAGAATATATTCAGTTGAAGCTGCTTATTAGTCTGTAAAATCCTGTCTTACATTTTTTGTATAATATTATATGAATATTTTAATCCATGCATTATATTACTTGGATCCTGAAATAGAGAGAATAGTTGGGTTGATTTATAAGAAAAACATGCAACCCATCCCCTTTGATTCACAACTGATTACATTCTGAATTTACAATAACTGCTCTTAACATAATTTTTTAAAATAGAAATATCCATCTCCAAGACTCATAAAAGCACGTAACAAAGGTACAAAGAAGCAAGTAGATGATGGCCAAGGAGACCAAAATGATCCTGTATCAGGTCCACCATCTGGACTCCCTCCACCACCTCCTGTGGAATCGATGCCGCATAAAGCAGGACCAGGACCTCCGCCAGGTTTACCACCACCACCTCCTCCTCCAGGCTTACCACCACCACCTCCACCTCCCCCTGTACCAGGTTTACCCCCACCACCACCACCAGGGCTAGGTTCTCAATCAAAATTAGCCAACAGTAGGCCAACTAAAACAGTAAGCAAAAAACCAGAGGAAACTCCTGCTAGTGGGTTGCCGTTTGATGCAAAAAACATTGTTGCAGCTAGAGAACGACTCGGGAAAGCCAACTTACGGAAACTGCCAGATAAGCCATTGAAGCAAGAAGGCAAACCTGTCGGTGAGTTATACTACTAATTCTTTCTTGATGATTTGAATCCAGCATAAAATATGTAACTTATGTGATCTTATTGTATTAGCTGTTTAATGATGTTCTTGATTTTGAGTAGCGATGCATGTGGGGTCAGGTAATTACCTCTCCCTGAAAATGTTAATTTGCTGTTTTACATAATAAACTTGGATATATTGCTTGTTATAATGGCAAGTGCAGCCCCGCAACTATTGAGTTAACCCCCCTCTGATAAAAAAAAAATCACAATTATGAAGGAATTCATCATTTACATGCAAGAATTGGAGCTTGAGGGGGTGGGGGGAGGCTTCGTCCACTATTACCACATAGTGTCACAGAAATGTTGGTTTGGGCCTAGGGTAGGCTGACCAAATTCCTGTGTGGTTGACATGGTAGATGCACCTGGTAGCCACTTTAATAGCACAAGGATAAAACTGCACAAACAAGTAGATAATTTATATTTTATACTTTTATCATAACCATCATTGACGGAATTGTATATTTACAGATGTTGTAAGTGAAATGACAGAGCTTTTCAGGAATGGTTTCAAACTTCGTAAACACGAAGACAATGACGAAGATGTGACTTCATTGACCCATGACTCAGCAGACTTCCTCAGGGATAGATTAGGCAAGATACATGAGAACATGAATCCACAAGATGGTGAATCAAATGATGAATTTGAGGAGTCTACAGAATGGTGAATGCGAGGATGCACATTACAAGAATTTTCACTGATGAAACACCAACAATTATCTTTAATAAAAAAAATTAATTCTCCCAATGGGATTTTAAACCAAGATGTGGGGCGGATTGCTATACACGATCTATAGACAAGTCAAATCAGAAAAGGGCGCTCTTTATTTGTGCCGCCATTACTGGGGGTCCCAAGTTTATGTCAGGTTCATGTATGTTGGTGCAGAGTACAGTAGTAGTATTCAGGGACACTTTTCCATGAAATGGGGGAAATATGTCTATACACTATAGCCAACCCCTATTAAGGTGGCACTCGCATTAAAGGGATGGGGACACTTTTTTCAGTTTTTCTTATGTACTTTCATATAGTTTCATATAGGATTCAAATCCATATCGTAACCCTGATTTTCAAGTCATTACACTTTTATATTCATTCTGCTGTATCTGTCATAGCACTGGAACCTAAACCATATAAAACTTTTGTTGTTTTAATTACGTTTATTTTGATTTCATCCTACATGTAGGATTTTTTTTTCTGCATACTTTTATAATTACAGTACAAGATTTTGACTTTTAAACATGGGATTTTTTTTTTAATTGTGTACACTACTTTTAGGATTTTAAATCCATACCCTGGATTTTGCTGTATCTGTCATTTATTAGCACACCAATGTACAACTTTGTAGTTTTAATTACATTTATTCTGATAGCATCATACTCATGTATTACATTTGCATTGCAAATTATTGTTTATATTTAATTTATATTGTTACTCGTTCACAGGTCAACTAAAATAAAATTATAAAGAATATACAGTACAGTTTGCCCTCATTGATGACTTTGTGCCAGGAGATCCCCTATTACTGTAGTATTATGTGGACAGTTTCACATTTTTGGTTAGTGTACCCAGAATAGGGGTACCCCTGTTCAGGGGACACTCTTAATAAGGGGACAGCTTTTTTGGTTCCCAAGTTTTCCCCTTAATAGGGGTTCTACTGTATTTGCATTGCAAATTATTGTTACAATGTTGTTTAATTTATATTGTAGGTCGTTCTTAGGTCAACTATGCTGATGACACGGCCAGATTTTCCCCCATTCATATCAGTATCAGTTATTCAGAGTACTGTACGTTGCAACATAAACAGTGGCAAATCCAGAAATTAAAAGTAGAGGGGCCCATGGATGTAATTTCACAGACAGAGGATCTGTACCACCTCAGCCCCTTTCTTCATATTACGTACGTTTTTCTTCATATTACTGGTATGTTGCAACATTCAGTGGCGGCTCTTATGGTATATTTTCTGGGGTAGGGGGCTAAGTTGCCGAAAAGGGGACTTGAGCTTGTAGGCTCGAGCTGGGGAAGGGGTTGATAGGGGGTTCCCTCTCCCAAATGAGGTTTTTTTTTAAGAATATCAACCTCTAGATCGCCGAAAATGGCACTCTCGGACTGTGACAGACGTGTTGGCTTGGTGTGGGCCTATTTTTTTATGTTTTATGGTCTGACTGCCTGACGAGCTCTGTCCGGTGAGGGGCTTGACCTGGTGGGGGGACTTAAGCAAATTTGATTATGAAGAGGTGGTTGGGGCAATGCAAATAAATGTTACTTAAATGCAAATCCTCAAAACCGCGCAGATCGCCCAATTCTATGTGCAGACCTACACACTCAACTGGAAATTCTTGGCAGAGAGAAGGGATATTCATAGCCAAAAAGTGGTTGTAAATAGCTTGAACGGCAGAGTCCCCCCATACATTCGTGTCTTTACTCCTTTGGGCAGAGGTCCAATGATTCCAAATTCAAGCACTAATTATATTATTGGTATTATTATTGTTATAACAAATTTTATTATTATGAAAATAACCTTAAATTTTAAGTTTCTATAGCCTATATTGATTGTTTGCTGGGCCCTGCCACCCACGGTAAAGAAGAAATAAATAAAATTATAAAGAATCTGACTATGTGCTAAAACTCCTATTAAGGTCCTAAAGGTGTCCCCCTTAATTGGGGGGTTCTGTATTTTGTATTTAAACACTGTATGTACTGTACTATAATTCCTATACAGTATTTGCATTTTGTAGCAGATGATCTAACCATTGATGAAAAGAAAAAGATTGATAGAGCAAGAAAAATAGCACAGCATATTATTAAATGCAACATTACACCATTGTCTGAAATATATGAAAAACGTGTTGCTCTTAAGATAAACAAAATTATGAATGACCCTACACACCCGCTTCACAGTTGCTATAGTTTTAATAGATCAGGTATAAGACTTTGCCCTCCTCGTACACTGCGTTGTCGCTACAGAAACTCATTTGTGCCAAATTCCATCCATATTTTTAATGTCGGTGTTAAAAGATAAATCGAAGTTTTACTTTTTAATCAATTTTAAAATTTTTTTAATTTTTAAAAATTTATTGTTTTAGACCAGTTTTTTGGTATGTTGCCTTGTTGTATTTTTTATTGTTACTGTGTGTTCATATACGTTTCTTTTTAATTATTGTAATTTTTGAAATGCTGTACAGCCAAAATTTCTTTGTATGTATTATGAAGACAAATAAAATTTCTTGAATCCTGAATCTTGAATAAGAGCTGTACACTCTGGGGTGGATGTAATAAAATCATAAAATTATTTGTATTTGGTATATATCCATAGTATCATCTACTGTAATTATTTTGTTGATTATTTATCTTGTTAGGATATTGTTTGATGTCAATGTTATTATTTTATCTCTCTGTTTTGGAGGTTTTTTCGAATACAGTTAAACTTGCCTATAACTCAAATAATTTCTAAGTCGATCTTATTTCATGCCAAATTGTTGTGTTTTTACTTAATTAACCATCTTGTAAGTTGAATTTTATCCAATTAAAACAATTTTTCAATGCCATTTTGGATTCAACTTAGGCAAGTTCAACTGTAAATTGAAATTGTATATCTCGACAGTGGTGGCTAATAATATTAATCTAAAACCTAAAAAATAAAATTAAAATACACTTTTGCAGCATAATGGTAAATCTTGGCTCCAAAACACCAGCAGCAATATTGTCAACAGATCATAAAGAAGGTGGCTACTATAACAGTAACAGTAACTCAGCTTTTTATGCCAATTTCCATATCATTTACTGTACTGTATTGATATGAAATTCAGATTAATTTTTTACAGTTTTTATTTTTGATAATAATAATATTAATATTAAATATTTATTCACTGGATTGTTATACAGTATATGCTAATTTTGCAAGGCCATCATTTGCATAGAACAGGAAAGAACATAAGACATACTGTAGCTTTTCAAACCCAAAAAGTGGCTTCTCTGTTATTTGAAAGGATTCTTTCCATTGGTGGCACCAGGGTGTGTCTGATGCAATACCATATAATGTTTTTTAGTCCAGACTATCAAATTTGGACAATGTCCTTTAATGACCATATTCAGGCATGTCACATGTTCTGACAAAGAAAAATGAGTCTGGACAAGGAATAAAACAGAAAATACAATTTATTTTAAAATCATTGATTCAAGTGGAAAAAAATATATATAAATGTTGTTGATTTTATTTGCTTCACACTGTATCCACATTTCTACAGTATAGACAACTTTGCTTAAAATATTTATACAGTATAAAATATTTACATTATGAAATATAATATTTTAATTTGGTAATTGATATATTATCCATAGAACATTTTTTGAATTCGACTAAAAACAAAATGGCAGTAATGTAATTTCAGCATGAAATGTGTATTCAGTTGCTATTCTTAGTGTACCTTAGCAGTCAAATATAAAGATATTATTTTATTCTATCAAGACAATATCATTTATCATCTTTATCATTAAAAATATAGACTACTAATATTCAATGAGATTTTTTTCCAAAAATACATAATTTACAATCAACTTTAGATTTTTTTTTTTCATTTTGTCATCTAATCTACAGTATCCATTTGCTTTTTTTAATTTGTAAATTAAATGCAATATTTAATTTACCATATGCTACTTACCTTTACAAATATCCTCAGTTGTAATGAGAACTAGAAAAAAGATTAGATAAATCTGCACACTTCGAACCCAAATTCTGCATTGATGATGGAAAACCAGATACTGTATTCAAATGTTAAATACCAAAACTCAATTTCAACCACTTCAGATGTTCCATCATTGTAAACCTAGTTTGATTGCAGGATTTTAAGGCAAGACTTGTGACACTAAGAACTCAAGACAAAATGATTGAGATCCTTATAATTGTGATACAGTATCAATGTGAAGTGTTTGATTATTAAGTGGATTGCAACAACAGCGAACAGGTCTAAGAAACAGCAGATTCCAGAGTTGTGTATCTCTTCTAGTTGTTTTCAACAGATACACTGGCATGCAAATTCATTGTAAACATATTCAGGATACATAATGCAAAAGATAGAGATGTGAAAACAATCGCACCGAACTAAACTGAAGCTCACCAACGCTCTACCAACTTTTAAATAAACGCTCAATTCAAACGATTTTTAAGTTGCAGCAAATGAATCTGGTTGCCTCAACTTTTCTGTTTAGACTTAACACTCACACAAACTTGAAATTATCTCATTTATACTACAAATGCTCAATTCAAACAACACACATCTGTCAAAATTTACCAATTGAATCTGTTCTGCTAAATCTCCCTCAAGATGACAATATTGTATATTACCAGTATATATTTCTCTTATAACTTGTTTTTATTTTTAAACCCCAAAAATATCTCAAATTATAGTTAATCAAATGTGAAATATAGCAAAAATAGATTCTTAAGGTGGCTCCTTGCTGGACATCATGATCTATAAACGATTAAAGTAGCAATGCTGCACTCTGACCATATAATAGTACAGGAATAATTGATGACAACAATCCAACTACATTTTTAAAAATAGTTCAAAAATTAAACTACATCTTTAATAGATGAGGCTGAAAGATAATAAACAATTTAGTCTCCAATATACTTTAGAATGGGCATTTAAACCAACACCACAAAGTTTCAGGTTTTTGTTTTTTTTCTTGGATGATGTCTGAATTTTTTTTTTAACAAAATGTACTGCTAAAACGTGTCATCTATCATTGTTGTTTTACCCTTGACCAAAATCAATTATACAAAATCTGGACAAACTCTGAAAATATATGTTAGATTATTAAGTAATTCAGTACCTTATTGAAATTGAAGGTTTTAAAACAAAATATATTGCATTCCAAAACTATCTCCAATTGATAGTTATTCAAATGTGAATTAAAGCAAAAATAGCCAGTAACTGAACCAAGAAGTGTTTTAAACAGTATTGAAATCGGAATGAATCTGAACTCGCTCCTTCAAAATTGAACTGTTAAGTACATTGTAGATTTTGATGAAAAAAACACCCAAAAATATTGAATCCTGTGAAATGGGCTTTTTAACCACAATTTATAATTTAGTAAACTTTTGTTATACTTTACTTTGAGTGGAAGTTAACTGACAACAATTGATGCACCAACAGTATTGATGTTCACCGTCTTGAACCAAGTCTCAAACATTAGAAAAACATGCTAGTAAAAATCGCAATGTGAAGTACATTACAGCAAAAATGAATGTTTTCTCTTTTAGCATTATGTGATTGGAACCCAGTAGAAAAAACTCTGTACAATCTCCAAAACACTGTTAAGCACAGTTCTTATTGAAGTTTTAACCAAAAATATATTGCATCCACAAAATATAAACAATTAAAATAACAACGCTGCGCACACTCCATTGTTGAATGGTACGTTCTCTGACATATAATAGTACAGGAATAATCATTGACAACCATCCGGTTACTTTGTGAACTGGATTTTTTTAAATGGATAAAAAATTGAACTACATATTATTTAATAGATAAGGCTGAAAGATGATAAACAATTTAGTCTCTAATAATTTAGAATAAATGGGCAATTCTACCAAAAACACCAACTTGAAGTAATTTTCCCCCTAAACCACATTTTTTTATAGACAAAATGTGAAGTACTGCTAAAATGCGCCATCTAGCATTGTTGTTTTACCATTGACTGAAATTAATTACACAAAATCTGGACAAACTCCAAAAATATATGTTAGATGATTAAGTAACTGTTAGCACCTTACTGAAGATTTTAAACTGGATTTTTAAAAAAATATATTGCATTCAAAAATTATTTGGATATTTAGATGGCTTTTTCCTGGACATCATCAACTACGTAAATTTTTTTTATAGACAAAATGTGAGGTACTGCTAAAAGGTGTCATCTTTCATTGTTGTTTTACCATTGACTGAAATCAATTACACAAAATCTGGACAAACTCTGAAAATATATGTTAGATTTTGAAAGTAACTGTACAGTGCCTTATTGAAGATTTCAAACAAAAAAATTACAAAGCATATTGCATTCGAAAGCAGTTGAATCTGGATGGCTTTTTCCTGGATATTATCAACAATTAACGATTACATCAAAAAGCAACACACACTATTGCTGACTGGTATGTCCTTTGATAACATTACAAGAATGAAGATTGATAAACATCAGCTTGGATGAGAAATTAAAAACTTATATTAATTAATAGATTCTCTTGAACGTTCGATGATAAATGATTTAATCACTATTATTATACTTTACATCAGAGAAAAATAATCTGACATCAATAAACACACCCAACTGCAAATACTATTGTTGACGAGTGCCTCAACCCAGAAAACAAATTTATAGTTAACAAATCCTCCTTGTACACCATCAACAATAACTATTAAAACTAGCTTGCAGCACAACCCATAGTTGAATGGTACATTCTCAGAGGCATAACCTTTAACATTACAAGGATGATTGATACATCAGGTTTCTCTGTGGACAGCATTTTTTAAAATCATATTATTATTTAATAAATGCAGCTGAATATTTGATGACAATTTGGTGACTGTTGTGTGCTTGAGACACCAACCAGTAGATAAACCAGTATTGATGTTGAATGTTGTAAATCAAGAAAAAAATCCATAAATGTATAGCTTACCTACAAAATCTACATTTCAGTGAAATTGACACAGGAAAAAGCATTATGATACAAATATATCTAGCTAACAAATCTGGTTAAACCCAGTTTGACATTTCTAAAATTAATTTACATAAAAATCCAAAAAGCAGACATATTAAAGCACATCGTTGAAGAACTTCATCAAGCACTTTATTGAAAATACAATGTGGATATACTGTACTAGGAGTCTATGGAATACTACTACAAATTATCCAATTTCTAACACTTTTAAAATCACATGACATAAGCGACAGAAGCTGGTGAATCTAGGGAAAGCTCATTTGTCCAATAAAAATATTAATCATGCTGAATATATTACCAAATGACAACAAAGCTTGCACGGTAACCAAACAACATCAAATAACAAAATTTCTGGATTTAAAAATATATTTTTCAGTAAATAATATTTGTTTGACAACAATCTTGACATATGAATCAACATAATCCTTCAATTCCATTAGCATAATGTTCAAGTATTTTGTACAACTTGATCCACCCAGTTGAAACCAGTCCAATCTAGCTTAGTCAGTTATCTAATTGTAAACCAAATATACTTGAGTAAACAACAGATTATTCTTCCAAAAATGTAACATAATAGTCTCAGGAATAATACAGAATTACAATAACATTTATTAAATCAATCTATCCCTAGTTATTAGTTGATAACATCAAAATTGATAATAACTAAATCAATTGGTATCTGTGTAAATATAACCAGCCAATGTTAACTGACAACACAGAACTAGAAAACAAATTGATTCCAGTTGAAACAAGACCTATCTTGCTTAGCCAGTACAAGTCTTCTTGCAAAAGAGATGCAAAAGAAAAAGAAATTGTTTAGAATTACATCAAATTTGGAATATTCTTTCTGGATATACATGGAATAAAAATGAACAAGTAACTTATTTCAATCAATAAAATCTCAAATTAAAAGTCTTTACAAATAAATCATCAAATTGAGTAGCAAACTTATGATGATCAAAACATCGATTCCTGGAGTTATCCATGACTTTATGTGCATACATCTGCATAAATTACTGTACCAATTATTAAAACTGGAACCTGTGTAACAAAGCACTATACTACAATTGCATGGAGTTCTACTAAGCACAATCTTCAGCAAAAAAATCTTCTCAACGGGTGAATTATCAGTATGTTATTACAGTATTACCTTGAGCATTTTTTTTAACCATAATTAGCATACAATGAATAAAATTAACTAAGCAAATCCGCCATGTAAAACTATTGTGAGAACAGTGTCTATATAAATCCACAAATCACATTATAAAATAGATTTTTAAAACTGCACATGTAAACAAGTCACAATCCATGAGAAAATATAAGTACGATGAGTTTAATAAATGTGATGAGAATTCAGCTAGAGTGCACTCATCAGACACAACAGGAATCCCCCACAATGCAGTTGAACAGAGACGGAAAAGCCTCACCCATACATTGGTCCAAATAAAACAAGAATTTCACCTTGCCTTCTTTTTCTTGCCACAATAACCCTTGGGTAAGAAAAGGAATTTATCACAAATTGGTAATTATACTTGTGCATCAATGTAACTGAACCATGGAGATAAAATATTGGGGACATGACACACTAAGACACATTTCCTGAACCAATCCATCCCTGGAAAAATCTGCTTTCAAAGATCTCAAAAAATAACTGCAAGGAACAAACTTTATCCCGCTGAGTGAAATATGTACAAGAATTAGGGGCGCGAACCGAAAATATAGCAAATTTAGTTATCGATCTGTACGTAGATTTCTCGACCATCCAAACGAACACGGTTCATCTCCTCTGTAAAAAATATGTTAAAGAAAACACTGCGACAGAACATAAAAGAAACATGAGGATTATAATATTTATGAATATTCATGATACAAAACCTACATAATTCATAAAGGATACGCACTGCTTTCTGAGCATCTTCTGGGACTTCAAATTTCACAAGGCCGTACCCTTTTGAACGTCCATTCTCTGTGCGAACCTCCGCATAGACAACGGGAGCTGGGGAGGAAAGCAATTAAGAATGCAAAAAAATTACTCCCCTTTAAATAATGCTTAAGACTTTCCTTTCAAACAGAAATAAAAAAGCCGACATGGGTGCAATCCTGCACATAGGAGTAACAAACATACACATGTAAACCAGATGTACTCTCCAATATTGTTAACAAAAAATGTACCTACCAATATGCCTAAAGCTATCTTTTAACTTCTTCCAATCATAAGAGAATGGTAACTGGAATCAAAAGAGAGAACAACATTTTACTTTTGGGTCTTTTTGCAAATAAAACTGTGCCAGTTACTTTCCACATCACTAACACAAAGTCATACATTTATATTAAGACACCAAATCTATATTGAGGTAAATACTCACATTCCTGACAAGGATTTGGCAACTGCCTTCTCTAAACATTGGTCTTCCACTGTCTCGCAGGTTTCCTCTTGGCTCACCTAGGATAGAAGAATTATTCCCACCAATGCTGGGGAAATCACTCCTACCACCAGACAAACCCATGCCAAGGTCTGAGTTCATGTTAGAGCTATAGCCCATTCCGGAATTGCTCAGACCAATCGAACCCCCTCCTATACCCCCCATAGCCGAGCTCCCAAGATTGCTACTACCTCCATATCCCCCTCCTCCTCCTCCTCCACTTCCGAAGCTGCTCCCAAGTCCACTTCCACTGTTCAGTCCATTACCAAAATTTCCCCCGCCTCCTCCACCACCTTTAATTAGAGAAACATTAACAGAAATATAATATATATTTTTGTATAAAAAATGCAACAGTTTTACTTGATCTATTCAGAGCGATGTATACCAGTGGTTCCCAAACTGAGAATAATTTGGGATTCGCCAGGTTAATAGAGTATGCAGGGAATTAGGGGATCAAAAGAGAATGTGCTAATACTACTGCAAATGTTGAATCCAAAGCAATGTTAACAAATCCTGACATACTTTTTGCTCCACAAAGAATGGCAAATCATCGCTTAGCATTTACAGTAAACAAGTAGCAACTACAATAACAATTTAAAAATTTGAATATATTTTTTTGAATTTAATCAAACACAAGACAAATATGTGGAAGGACTTCATCCTTAGGTGAAAATAAATACCTTGTTAACAAATATTGTGTTTAATATATGACGTCATTGACCAATATTGAATCTTTTCACATAATTGTACATGGAAATTTAAAGCCTTAATAAAATTTTGTAAACTTTGGAATAATTGTTAGGCAAGGACAGATTAAAAACACAAAAATGTATTAGTCACCAGCATGCAGACACATTTTTACTAGCCAGGCTAGTTGACCCTGCTAGTTAAGTCAAGTCACCACCTTTTCATTGGGAGACAAGATGTGTATAAGAGACAGATTTCTCGACCATCCAAACGAACACGGTTCATCTCCTCTGTAAAAAATATGTTAAAGAAAACACTGCGACAGAACATAAAAGAAACATGAGGATTATAATATTTATGAATATTCATGATACAAAACCTACATAATTCATAAAGGATACGCACTGCTTTCTGAGCATCTTCTGGGACTTCAAATTTCACAAGGCCGTACCCTTTTGAACGTCCATTCTCTGTGCGAACCTCCGCATAGACAACGGGAGCTGGGGAGGAAAGCAATTAAGAATGCAAAAAAATTACTCCCCTTTAAATAATGCTTAAGACTTTCCTTTCAAACAGAAATAAAAAAGCCGACATGGGTGCAATCCTGCACATAGGAGTAACAAACATACACATGTAAACCAGATGTACTCTCCAATATTGTTAACAAAAAATGTACCTACCAATATGCCTAAAGCTATCTTTTAACTTCTTCCAATCATAAGAGAATGGTAACTGGAATCAAAAGAGAGAACAACATTTTACTTTTGGGTCTTTTTGCAAATAAAACTGTGCCAGTTACTTTCCACATCACTAACACAAAGTCATACATTTATATTAAGACACCAAATCTATATTGAGGTAAATACTCACATTCCTGACAAGGATTTGGCAACTGCCTTCTCTAAACATTGGTCTTCCACTGTCTCGCAGGTTTCCTCTTGGCTCACCTAGGATAGAAGAATTATTCCCACCAATGCTGGGGAAATCACTCCTACCACCAGACAAACCCATGCCAAGGTCTGAGTTCATGTTAGAGCTATAGCCCATTCCGGAATTGCTCAGACCAATCGAACCCCCTCCTATACCCCCCATAGCCGAGCTCCCAAGATTGCTACTACCTCCATATCCCCCTCCTCCTCCTCCTCCACTTCCGAAGCTGCTCCCAAGTCCACTTCCACTGTTCAGTCCATTACCAAAATTTCCCCCACCCCCACCACCACCTTTAATTAGAGAAAAATTAAGAGAAATATAATATATATTTTTGTATAAAAAATGAAACAGTTTTACTTGATCTATTCAGAGCGATGTATACCAGTGGTTCCCAAACTGAAAATAATTTGGGATCCGCCAGGTCAATAGAGTATGCAGGGAATTAGGGAATCAAAAGAGAATGTGCTAATACTACTGCAAATGTTGAATCCAAAGCAATGTTAACAAATCCTAACATACTTTTTGCTCCACAAAGAATGGCAAATCATCGCTTAGCATTTACAGTAAACAAGTAGCATCTACAATAACAATTTTAAAATTTGAATATATTTTTTTGAATTTAATAAAACACAAGACAAATATGTGGAAGGACTTCATCCTTAGGTGAAAATAAATACCTTGTTAACAAATATTGTGTTTAATATATGACGTCATTGACCAATATTGAATCTTCTCACATAAATGTACATGGAAATTTAAAGCCTTAATAAAATTTTGTAAACTTTGGAATAATTGTTAGGCAAGGACAGATTAAAAACACAAAAATGTATTAGTCACCAGCATGCAGACACATTTTTACTAGCCAGGCTAGTTGACCCTGCTAGTTAAGTCAAGTCACCACCTTTTCATTGGGAGACACATCTTGGGGGTTTATTGACCTCAATAAAGGCATGGAATTATAGATTCAACCTACCGCCTAGGCCCATGTTGTTCATACTTCCTAGGCCAGTGTTGCCGAGGCTCCCACCAAGGCTGCCCATCCCGCCTTCGGTATCAATGGAAAAAATTTATAACACTGTTAGTATTTGAAAAAACAATACATGCATAAACAAATGACAGCTATCAAATTTTGGTTATATAATACAATATTTTGCAAGTATGTTAAACTTGTTTTGTTAAAATATTTTTAAAATAGCACAAAAGTTATTATTAATGAGTACAATGTTTATGTCATGTAACTGTGCATAAAATATACAGTCAGTAAACATGTCTACCTATAAAACAAAGCCTCTACCACTAACCAAAGAACTGCGACCATATTATTGAAGGTGTAGCACAACACAATCAACATAGGCTAAACAAAATTTTAATGCGTGCATGTGGGAATGCAACAAAAATTGCCAACAAATTTACAAAAACCTTTTACTGCTCATATTGGGATTGTTATTCATACCTGACAGACCACCTCCGATTCCTAAGCCAAGATTTCCACTTAGGCCTCCCATGCCACTGTTTCCACCAAGACCAAGACCTCCACTGCCAAGGCCTAGCCCACTGCCTCCACCACTGCCCATTCCCATTCCACCACCACCACCGCCCATACCTTGGCCTCCCCCAACACCCATCCCCATGTTACCTCCCATACCACCTAAGTTGAAGCCACCCATGGCTCCTCCACCCATGGCTCCTCCACCCATCCCTCTCCCACCTCCAACGTTACCCCCCATTCCCATTCCTCCTCCGCCACTGCTGGGTCCAAGCATGTCCAATGTTGGGCCTAAGCCTCCTAGACCACCTAAAAGCAAAAATACATAAGTAATTATAAAGTTAACTTATAATAAACAAAAAAAAAGTTACTAATAAATCATACCTAGCTGTTATAAAAACAATAATTATTTCTGTATAATACTTACTTGGTAAAATCTTGCGATTCCTCTCTCGCATGTCTTCCTGAGCCTTTACTTTATCCTAAACATGAAATCAAAACATCATTAAAAACTATTTCAAATGATAGACAAAGTGTCATGGTTACAACTGTTTGACTCTACAATCCTACTGATGATTTTTCTTGACAACTAATAAACAACTTTAAAAATGGTCTGAAGTTTACGTATCTATCAGCCTTCCAATAGGACAACATTCAACCCCCATTACACTCTTTGCTATTCTGGATGTCGTGAGTTAACATAATTATGAACACATTTATTGATGCCTTCACTTGCTTTTGATTGGAATAACAGATATATTATTATTATTCATATATTACAACTATATGTTAGAATCAGTAAAGTGAAGACATTATCAGCAAGATCTTACCATCCTGACCCGCATAACCCTGTCATAGAGTGACTGTCCATTAAACATAGCTGAAGCAGTGTTAAGAAATACAAGCACTTCAACTACTAATAGTAATTAAGCAATTGATCGATATACATCAATTACCTTATTAACTACATCATAATTATCATTTTTAATTAAATTACTTATATTGTTTGTGTATGTTTTTATCTGAAGACAGTGTTTAAGCTGTCATTAACCAAAAAAACAGAAGCTGACATTTTCTAGTTATTCAAAATTAGCAAATAGGTTGGAATTGAAGTTATCATTGTATTCTTTTGTTTTAGCTTAACGAATTTCTATAAGGCTAATTATTTTCATACCAAATTAGTCAAATTGTTAAATTCCATCAAAAACTTCTTGCATATTATTTACTTATAAATATTATTCTAATTGTTTATCAGTAACGTTATCATCATTAATATTTACACTCAGGAAGTATGTAAAATAATGGTTTCAGTTTAATATATTAAGACTTTGTAGAGAAGGATACAGATTGCCTGAACAGCTCCAAGCGGGGATTCAAACTGAACAGTGGCCAGGCCTCTGCTCTCCCTCTTCTCATCTTCCAGGATATCAGCATGCACCACCTCACCTGCCATCTTGAAAATGTCCTTCAGCTTCCGCCAAGTCACCTGATATGGCAGCTGCAATCAATTAAGGAATTGATAATTATATTAAGAGACATGTACCATAAAAACTTGAATAGAAGCCCCAGATGTCTTTTTTAGACCCTTCATTAGGCGCCTTTTCGAGATGTGCTTCTTTTCAAGATGAGCTACTTTTTCAGTTTCATTGTGCAAAATAATAAGGGGACCTTCTTTTTAGACTTTTCTAAACAAATATATAATTAAGTTGTTCAAAAGGATTAACAGACAGATAATTACACAAATATTAAAAAGCTAAATGTAAACCAACTGTTAATCATTTGAAGCAACATTGTTTTCTGTAATAATACTGCTGAAATATCAGTCTAGTAGTCCTTAACCAAGTGTCAGAATCCTGTTATGATCATATTTACGGATCTTCAAAAATGTTTGTTAAACAGCATTTCAAGGTTTGAGATTCAAATATCTTTAACCAAACTTCAAATTTACTTTTTTTTAAATTACATATCACTTATGTCTAATTAACTGCATTTTTCCAACTACAGCTACAAGTTATGAGAGCCAATTCTCATTATTTAATTTTACAAAAATAAATAATTTTATAATTTTACAAGTATAAAGGTCACTCACATTAGATACAAACACAGTATCGCTGACACAGTCTGGGTCAAGGTTCAATTGCTGGAGAACTTGAGGCGTTAACATCATTTGGGCTTTTTCATCCTGAACACGTGGACGGTACTTGCGGCTGATACGGCCATCTCTATCCTAAAAAAGTAAAATAATACGCTGTTTATTAACCAAGACCATGTTAAATGAAACCATAGACCAGGACTAAAGGTCTGCCTTCCAATCTTACAGCATTAGTTTTAAATACTTTTAAAAAGCAGTCTAGCAGTACAGATATGTTTATTTCTTTTTCTTTTTGTCAGATTTCTTATCGGTTGATATTGAATTTGTCGCACACATTCTTACATACCGTATATTCCTGAGAGTATTATGCACTCACCTCTTTGACAACAATACTTCTTCCTTCAATTTCATATCGGTGCATTTTATCACAGGCTTTGCCAACATCTGTTCTATCGGCAAATTCCACGAGTCTAAAACAAATATTACATTAAAAATCAGTACAGTAAACTAAAAACCCAACATTGTATACATGAGGTCTAAAAAAACAAGCATCAGAGAAAATATCAAAATTAAGGGAAACAATTATTGTATTATTAGTATTGTGAATCACCATGTTTCTAATATGTAATGGTATGAAAAAATACTTACGCACATCCCTGGTGGGGCATGTCCAAGTATATGAAAGAGAAATAATAAATTGCAACCAATTAATTTATCTTAGATGAAATTTGCACATTGTTTTATGTAACATTTTAAATTCTAATAAAGGTCTCTTTTCAATTAAAAATACCTCAAATTCCAAGACCCATCTAATTCCAAAACCTTTCTAATTAGGAAACTTTTGAAGTATCAACTAACAATCTTCAATCTTTTACCACAAATATAACCCCTAATTGGTGGTCAAGTGGAGGGTATACTGTAAATTTGTCTTTATCATTCTTTTCTATGATTCAAAATATGAGTTACTTATCTGTTTTACTCCATAATAATAATATCAGATAGTATGTTAGGCAGAAAAGGAAAATCAACTTCACTCACAAACAATGGCTGTAGAAAGGTTGTGGAGGTACCACAGGAGGCAACCTTATATGGGCTATAGGCCTACAGCTAATGTTTGGGGATTGGCACTGTAAAAAAATTATTATGATTGGCGGCCTGCCTATTTTTAATGGGATCTGCTTAATTTACACCCAATATACAACAGGCTGTAATTTACGTTACCAAATGCAAAAAAACAAAAATAAAACCGTATATAAAGTAGTAGTGTGATTGTCTGGTACTGATGAAAATATATTTTTGATAGTTTCATCTGCAACTAAAAGTAAAATACAGACACTAACAAAATATCAATATTTATTTTCTATTTTATTACTTATGTAGAAAACCTTACCCTTGATTTGCCATCATCGTCAGTGAATATTTCAACATATGTTACTTCCCCAACTAGCATTAAGATATAAAATAAAATATAAGTTAACAATAGTCATAATTTCTATTTGTATTTTTAATTCTGTACAGCGCCTGTGAACAATTTAAATGGATATTGTTTGCACTTTAATTATTAAATAAAGTTATTATTATTATTATTGTTTGGTATTAAAAAAATAATTATATCAACATTATAACCTGCTTAAACACCTGCATAAATTGCTAAAACTTTCTTACCATTCTTTCTCATTGTGTCTTTTAAGTCCTGCCATTTCAGTTCATATGGAATATTGCTTACAAACACGCTTCTCTCAAGTATCGCTTCCCTAGGTCCAGCACCTCTCTCTCGTCCACCTTGTCCCATGCCCACTCGTCTATCTCCCATGCGCCCACGACGATCACGGTCTCTGTCACGGCCACGGTTTCTATCTCTGTCGCGGTTTCTGTCAACCTTGCCTCGATCATTTTCCCTCCTGTAAATTAATAAGGTGTTACTATCAAGTTCAAAAAATCAAGTACTGTAATTAATATCACCATTTATTTGTGATGAGTCCAGAGAAAGCTTTTTAACATGGTGGTAGGCATTATAATTTATCTTAATGCTAAAAATCCCAGTATTTTAGTCCAAGAAGCCTAGGTTATAATACTAAATATAGTACAGCCATGAATTATCGCTTCGTATCTATGCGTAACCACTTGTAACTTACAATATTGAAATATAGTTTACCAGCTTTCAAAACATAAGCAATGTTGCAATTTGCTAATACTGTACACACTTTTGGAATTTCATTGTTAGCTATTTCCTACCTTAGGCCTAGATCAATGTTCTTACAACCATACTTAGCTAGGATGAGGCCTACACTCGCTATGTTTGAATTTTGATGTCATCTCTAGGTTTTTTTCGAGGTTGACACGATGAACTGGCAATATACGCCAAGTTATATTTACCATTGGGTTTTCCATGTGACATTTAGTCATTTTACAATCAACGGACGTTAGCTCTCCTTTATATTTATTATTTATCTTACAAAATCAAGACTACAAAATATTATTTGATGAACAATCTTTTCACATGTGTGTATTGTTATTAAGGGCATCATTTTTTGACAGTTAAGAGGTAAAATAATTATGAAATAAAAAATAGGCTAGAGCCTAGGCTAATTAATTAATTAAAAAAATAATACAGCTGTGCAAACAAGTTCCTGTCATCGATAGCGATTGGGAGAGAAGACTCCATCAAATCCAGTGTACATTTTTCCAACAATTCCCTGATTTTTCTTATTGAAAAAAAACAGCTCCATGCCTTAAATTAATGGTGTAAACTCGTGCTTGTCATTGACAAATGACCCAGCAATACATTTTTTATTCTAGTACAGTAGTAAGCTACTAGTAGCAGAGTCTTTCTGCAAATATAAATAAACAACACTCATTCCTGATTATGACATAATTAATGTCGAAATATTGAATCCCAACACGATGGCGTGTATTTCAATACTTGGAGTATGTATTATACTTTCTCAACACACTTTTGTTTTGTAGGTTCGCTTCGTAGCCTTGCTTAGATTGTTTGTATCAGGTACGATGTAGCTACGATGCTTACATGCAGAAAAAATTGCAATACCTCTAGTTTCTGGCTGTAATGCATACTCAAAATTACCATGCGCTTTACAATACGACCAAGATATACATACACATTGAATACACATGCAACTGTACATTTACCCAACTTTATGTAGACTCTGTCGCTGTTTTATGGTACTTCCCCCAATCATAAACATCGTTTGGTCTGAATCCAGATCGAGAGAATAAGTTTTCCCTGTCATATGATTATTAGTGTAAAATTTTCTGATTAAAGTTTGTCCTGAGGATTCAGGCCTTGCTTGATATGGCTATAGATAAATGACATGAGTCTTCAGTGTAATGCCATTTGCCGTACCTTTTAATTTTTTATTGCAAATGAAAGTCGAAATACGGTACCATGGGATATGACCGGTTGAGCCGCCGACAAGTTGAGCCGCCAGTAATTTCTATGGAACGCCAAGCGCGTCTCTCAGTGAATGTAGTGTGGTTCTCAGTGAATGTACAGTAGTCGGCTTGCCGATGTCATCAGTGAATGAACCCCCCGGATTATCAGCTACTGTACATATTCATCCCACAGTCTTGTCAGTCGTTGATTTGCTCGTATTGCCGTTCGTGATGTATAATTGTGTAATTGAAAATTAGAATTCTGATATTTTTATGTACTACATTTTTATAAAAATATATGAAGTTGTATAATTGCAAAATCGTATTAAAAATGTAATTTTATGTACTACATTTTTATAAAAATAAATGAAGTTGTATAATTGCAAAATTGTATTAAAAATGTGTTTATTTACGTTTGGTTTGCGGCGTATTTCAATTAACTTATTCGTTATTTGTACTATTTTGTTAAATTATTTATTATATATAAGTTTAACATATAGTACAAAAATAAAAAGTATATAAATTACAAAACCATAGTAAATACTGTATAATAACATAGGCCTAACACATTTAAATTTATTATTTATTATTCATGCAAAATCGTATTAAAAATGTAATAACTTGATTATTTTTTATGTTTGGTTTGCAGTGTATTTCAATTAACTTATTCGTTATTTGTACTATTTTGTTAAATTATATAATTAAATTATATTTATTATATATCATTTTATATAATAAATGATAATAATGTATGGAGTTTTTTTTTTACTATCTGGCAAGCCGACTGAATTACAGATGACTATAAACAATAAATTTAAATGTGTTAGGTCTATGTTATTATACAGTATTTACTATGGTTTTGTAATTTATATATTTTTATTTTTGTTAAACTTATATATAATAAATGATAAGAATGTATGGAGTTTTAAATTTTACTATCTGGCAAGCTGACTGAGCAAATACTCACAAAATTTAAATTAAAATGATAGAAGGAACAAGTAAATAAATTGAAATACATCCCAAAAATATTTAATAAATCAGTGCAAAAACCGAGTATTAAATAAATTGAAATAATTGAGTAAATAAACTGAAATACATCCCAAATAACAGTACCAAGAACGAATAAGTTAATTGAAATACTGTACGCCGCAATTAACGCACTACATTCACTGAGAGATGCGCTTGGTGTTCCATAGAAATGACCGGCGGCTCAACTTGTCGGCGGCTCAATCAACCGGTCATAATCCGGTACCATATCTAGCCACAGCATTTAATAAAAGCCATACAAAAAACAAAACCCTTTTTTTTTTTATATTAAATTAAATACAGTACATCACGGCCAAACTGGTTTGCAACTGAACTGGCTAGGCCTAGTACAGTACATTATAAATTAAAGACAAGTATGAAATTCAAAATTCTCTTCCAAGTTGCACTTGTCTTGGACTATATAATAAGAAAACAAACTTAAATTTTTTGGATCAACCTCCGGCTAGTAAGGCTGGCCTATTAATATAGCATATTTTAGTAAAGTTGAATTTAAAGAGCGTTTACGCTAGCTAGGGCTTGGCTAAGTTGGCTATCTATCGGCTTGGCGACTCCGCATGGCGTCTCTGCCCATCATCACCAACAGATTATAAATGCTTTCAAAATGGACGCCACGCTATGCCTACGTTACACGCAATTAATTATGTACATATACTAACCTAGGTTTATTCTGTTCACTACTACGAGTAGGAGATCTAGATCTCGAACGGTATCTTCCTCCTGGTTGTGGTGCCGGGGCATCATCTTTAGGGGCATCTGCTTCCATTTCGGTTTTATTTACTGTAGCAATCTCATCAGCCATTCCACGCGATAAAGCAGTTCCACAAAAACGAAAGAAAAAGGAAGCTTGCGCGTTACGTCGCCTCCTAGCAGGCCGGCCTCGTCGCTCTTTAAACTATAGAGGGCGGGGGTAAGAGCTTTTCACCAGAGCCGTAGATAGAGAGAGTTTGGCCAACTTGGCGCATGGGCGCCATGTTGTCACCAAACAGCGTGCGCGCGTATAGCCAGTAGTGTTTTGCTGCAGTGACATCTCGGTGCTGGCGACTCGCTGCTGGCGATGACTCGCTGCTGGCGAATCGATCTGCGCATGTGTATAAAATGGTATTTACTTCCGAAAACATGCCTGCTGCACTTTAGGTGATTTAATGTGAGTTAAATCCTGTCTCTTATACACATCTATATTTCGCGCGAATACTTACGCTAGCGTTCATTAATCGCCCAGTCTGGACATCTCGCTAGTTACGCCATGGATTAACGCACGCCCGGCGTTAGATACGCCTGGCGTATCTCACAGGTCTGAACGTAGCCATATATGAATTTTTATACGCTGTCCATACTAAGTGATGTTAATTATAAAATATAATTGTAAACCCAATTAAGTGTGTGAAATTAATATGCAATGTACGTAACACATATACTTTGCATGTGTTCATCGGGAAGATTATGAAACAAAATGGACGGTGTGTACCACGTGACTTTCGTAAACCAAGGAGCGGAATGTCGCAACTCTTTATATATATGGCTCTGCTTTTCACTGCTTTCATGCTTTCATACAGAGCCGTTAGATATACGGCTCTGCTTTTATACAGTCTTTATTTAAAAAGTGGTTTATACGTCACCTTGTGTTCCAATAAAATTCAGTTCAGTGGGGGGTGTGAATAGAGATACAGTAGTAAAGTATACAAATAATATGTATATGATGAGTTGTAGAATGGGGTACTATTTCATGAGGTGGAAGATTTGACGTTCTAATAGAACATCTTTCACCGAATGAAATTTTCTACCCCATTCGAATAAGAAACATTCATTATTTGTTTTGTACAACACCTAGCTGTGTCTCAGGATCGTCTGCATGGTGTTCGAATACAAAGACACATCTTTTCCTTTCAAAGGCCCCTGATTCTACAGGTTTTGTGTTAGTGGGTGGGAACTATCTGTTAAAATACTCTTGTTTAGGCCTACTGTAAACAGCTGCATGAAGTATCATTAATTGCGTGGATGATACTTCAAAAACTAGCTCAAACTTGCGCAAAATCTGTGCAGAATTCGGCCCTTATTTTCCGAAAAGCGCTGATTTCCCCTAGCCCTAGTAAAAAGTTGTTTGAAGTTTTGAAGCACCGTTAGGGTATTGTCTAACGCGTGCAGCTGTTACATAAGTGCTTCCCAATAAACATCCATATCTTCACCTCATGAACCATCTACCTAATTACACTCATAAACATTATACTATTCAATTCAAAGATCGTTGACAACTACTAGATCATATTTATAACACACCTAAACAGAACAGATCCCTGCCATTTGATTAGTGGGTTTCGTATCACGTGACATTGGTTATTCATCCCATTTCGTCACTCATCATGTTGAAATATATATTTCCATCCGTGCATTTTTCTCTCCATTCGTTACCAAGGCACGTTGCCTAGGAAACGAAATTACTTCAACCTAAATACAAAATCTTTTGATTTGTTAAAAAGACGTGGGACTGACTTATTCCGGAAGGTTAAATCCATGAAATGACGTCACGTCACCTACAGCCTATTTCTTGCTGAACTTTTGTCTTTTAGCGGTGTGCGATGTATTCAGTGGAGATTTTGTTTATTGTAAACAGCTGTAGAGTATTTTAATTATGTGGATGATACCTCAAAAACTAGCTCAAACTTGTGCAAAATCTGTGCTGATTCGACCCTTATTTTCTGAAATGCGCTGACGGATTTCTAGCCCTAGGAGGTTTTGCGCGGAGTAAAGGCCAGGCCAGGCCAGGCGCGGATAATAGCAGGCTAGGCTAGGCCAGGTCAGGCTAGGCCGAACTGATCTATTTAGGTGTGTTATAAAACAAATTATTATGAATGTTTAGTTTTCGTGCAATATAAAGAATATTTTCATTATTTGTATCTGGAATCTGGAATGTCGATATATGGCTATGACTACAACATAAATTGGTTGTCAACTTTGCCATTTTTGTAATTTTCTCATGTTTTAATAAAAATAGGCGGGTGGGGTAGGAGAGTGCTCAGGCAAATCCCCCTGGTTAAGCCACTGTCAGTGGGCCTAAAATTATGCATTTAATTTTCCGATTAGTATTTACATGAACCTTCTTTCGATATCAAAATATAAAGTTGGATTCTCAAAACATTTTATATACCGTAAAACCTCGAATTGTAGCCCAGTTGGCTTAATCTTGAATTGAGGGCCCCTATTTAGTTTGCAAAATTAGCCTTGAAAAGAAGCCCATCTCGAAGAGAAGCCCATGGCCTTCTTTTCAAGATAGCATAGGCTTCTTTTCGAGATAGTACCGTAGAGTGCATGATTTTCAGAAAACAAAATAAATTAAAATCCAGCTCGGTTTATACGTTAGTTTAGGTGATTTAATGTGAGTTAAATCCACTCCATAAATATAGAGATTGATAACATTGACCTTATTTATTGTTAAATTGTACAAATTCACAGCATTCATTTTGAAAAGAAGCCACCCCCACCCCTTACATACCATCTTTACTTTGCAAAAGTAGTGTCGAAAAGAAGCCCATCCAAAGTTCGCAAAAAAAAAAAAAAGATGCCCAGGGCTTCAATTCGATGTTTTACGGTATTTACAAAAAATGAAAACCAGGCTAAAACAATTTTTTATCATATTCATTGTTATTTTTATAACATAAGTATATAGTCAATTATCAGATTACGATCTGTGGTAGCTCCAGCAGGGCGGGCGGGCGGCCTAGGGGGCATATCCCCTCGTGGGGAAGCCTAGCCGCTACCGTCGGGGAAAAGGGTGGATTTTTGTCGAGGAATTAAAATACAGATGAAAACAAGTTATGTTACAGACAGGTTTAGGTCAACCATCTTCTTCATTTAGCTCTTTGTATTAACTTTTTCATCACTATAATGAAATTTAGGTTGCCATTTACAGCCTATTGTGTTGTGCCCCATCGCTACAACGTCAAGTTGCGCCACCACCCTCAGCTACTAAGCTATTACCATCATGACAACTCTGATGGAGTCGATGTTGTACTGTCCGATGCCTTCGAGTTATCAATAGAATACGGTGAAATAGAAGGGGATGTCATGTTTGTGCTTTGTTTCTAATCTAGTACTTTAATACAAAATGTATTCCTACTATTAGCAAGTTGTTTGGCCATCACAGAAGTTACATGTCATACTCAATGTCAGGGGTAGCGCCAGCGGGGGCGGGGGAGAAATAGCACAATTCGTCGGGGAGAAAAAAAAATTATATGATTTTTCTACATACTTTAGTAGACGCTAAAATCGATTAAATAAGACTTTGTACCCCCTAAATTGTCAAAATTTTCGGGGGTTTGCCCCCCTTGGACCACTTTCGAGACCTTTTAATCGAAGCTCGACCACGCATACTTTGCTTTCGTCGGGGAAATCTGACCCCTCGTCGGGGCACCGGCCCCCACGTCGGGGACCTCGGCATCCCCGTCGGGCAAATCCTGGCGCCACCCCTGCTCAATGTCCGAGATTACATCGGGGTAGGGGTAAAAACTTTTAAAATGTTTATGTGAGATTGTTTTAGTTTCAAATGTTAAGCTGGGTCAGTTGAAACAGATCAACAATCACTTTGGTTAAAACGTAATAAAATTGTTATGGATAGGACAACACTTAAGCATAAAAAGGTATGTACAAATTGTTTGGTCTTTTTCCATGTTTTATATAATACGGTAGTCCTGAGTTGGTAAAATGTGTACAGTTGTAATGATAAGGTCATAATTTGTAATTTGTAATAATGCACATAATTATAGCACCTCTGCTGCACACCCCGGTCCATGCATCGCACCTGATATCACCCGTATCCATTTTAGTCTATTTGCCTCTCCCACGCACCATCAGCACTTATACGTCACCATTAATAGGCCTACGGTACCTCAATCTAGTTTTTCGTTGCCTCTGTATTTAGGTGATGCTGCTGGGCACATCGATATCCTGGTGGGTAAAGAAGAAAGGTATGGCTTGTACCAGATTTTGGGTGCCGCGACAAACACTTATTTGTACATGTATGCTGCGTCGAACTGTTAAATATCTGCATAATGAAGAGTGAGTATTTATTCAAATTTTTCATGATCAAACTTCATTCCGGCAAAGAACTTAAATTTATTTAGCTATTTATTATCTTTGATTCCGGTCAACTTAAAAGAGGACTAGCAAAATGATTTTTTTGTTCTAGAGTGGATTTTTTGATATCTTTTAATATCGACAAACGCGCAGGTACGCGTGCACCCACGCGTTAGTGCGCGTGTAAAATTTAGAACATTTTTCCAAAATGTCTAAATTGATAATTTTAGGTGTGCTTCAGGCAATTTTAAAGCCCCATTCCCGGCAAAATTTCCATTTTTAAGAAAAATCTAATTTTTGTATAATGTTATAAAGATTTATAAATATAATACGGAATTGCTAGTTTAACTGAATTTAGACATTCCTAAGAATGAAAAAAATGTAAAATAAGACTGAAATTTGATTTTTTGTGTTCCACACAAAAAATAAATGCGGATGAATTTTTCATGTTGATTTTGCGATAGGTCGTGAGAAGAAATATCGTAGGCGCCGAAAACATTAGCCTATCCAATGCTGCTGGCTAGGCAGCCAGCAAGGTTCTGTTATCACACATAAAAACGGCCGACATGATATTTTCCGTTGCTAGTATTGACACTTATGAAATATAATATTTCATAGGAATTATTTCAAATTTGTTAAAAACCGATTCTGACTGAGATTTTGACACTTAAACAAACATATCTCAACCTAACCGAACGACCGCATTGTGCGAGATGCGAAGTACAAAAAGTAATCTCATTAGAGAGGGCGCACTTTATTGACTGTATAAAGCATACATAAAAGCGAGAGTATTCAAGTGGATGCGATCTACAACCTCTGAATTTGCCTAGTAACGATGAATTCGTCGAGAAAATGGTAATATTTTATAGTCTGTATTTCTCTTTTTTTTTTATTCTTTTGCGTAAAACTAAAATTCATGCCAATATTTTTCCATGATTTATAATCATCTCTATACAATATGGCATGCCTTCAGATCATCATGCCATAAAATGTCAGGCTGTCTCTTATACACATCTACATAAAAACGGCCGACATGATTTTTTCCGTTGCTAGTATTGACACTTGTGAAATATAATATTTCATTGAAATTATTTAAAATTTAAAAGAAATATGATTCTTGTGGTATCCTTCACATTGATCGTCAACAACATACAATTAACAAAGCATGCATGCAATATAAGTTACAGACTATTATTTCTTAAATTATTATGCACCGCACAACCGTCTGCATAACACCAACTACCATGTATGAGGCCGTTAGGGCCAAACTACAGTGTGGATATTACATTCCTCCATTTCTTTAAAGATTATTATTTTTTATGTGCTATTTTAAAATAGTGTATATTTCTGTATGTTATTATGAGTCTAATAAGTGTTCCAAAATGCTATTGAGTTCCAAGTGTTTCTGAATGATTTGTGTAATAGCTACTTTAAAAAATATCAAGTTATTGCTCTGAAATCCAAATTACTCCATTTAATCCATAAAATGAAACGTCTCAATTCAATTCATAACACTTCATAAAAACACAATTTTAAGATTTGGCCATCCTAGGGTGGACTATTCTCCGGCCAACATACCCTATTCCTGGGGATTATACAGCTGCCCTATTTCGATAGTAATCATATATTGATCGATGCAACAATATTTAGACTGTTCGCCCTTAATTCACTTTAATTGGTGCCTACATGCACATCTCACCCTAGATTAGCACCAAAAAGAGGCACATTCTTGATATGGTCTATGATTCGACAAAGCATGGGAAAGTTCCAAGCATGGGAGGTTACCAAAGTGCCAGGCGGAAAACCCAGTGGAAAAAGATAGGAAAGACGATATGCAAGAAAAAAAGAACAAGAACAAATCAGAACAAAACTTACAATGGCTTTTCCAGCTGCAGCTACTGCTGGGAAAACCCAATAATAATAATTTACATTTATGCGCTTTACATAAAATTATATAAAAAAAAGCATAATGACTTTACAATAATATAATAAAGTGTGCAGACAAAACACTCTCAAAGGGTCAACCATCCGCCTCTGCTCTGGCGCAATCCCAGTCCCCTACCTAGGTGGCTCGAAACCGTCTAATTTACGATCAAACAGGCATAGGGAGATAGGAAGCATAGGAAACATTAGCATTTTATTTCACAAACATGTGTAGCACGTCATGTTGGCGACAGTGGTTTTTAAACTTCTTTTGCTACCCCTCTACTCACCTTACCATCATATTGATTTTATATATGTTTATGTCGAAATAAATAAAATAAAATAAAATAAATAAAGAATAAAAGTGATTTAATTAATTTATCATTGCCATGGCGAGATTGCGTCAACGTATCGGTCGTAAACTTCAGTGGTATCACTGCTTAAATAGATAGACCTATCCGTGTCAAAGACTGTATAATTATTGTCTAATAACGGCTATATAAAATTTAATTGACTAAAACTCTAATTTTTAAAAATTAGGAAAAACAGGAATCTATGTATGCAGATAATATTAAACACTAGTATATACGGGTCTTAATAAACTTATGTAAAAGGAATAAATCGTTTATTGTAGAAATTGTGCACTTTTGAGTTTGTAAAAATGGTGGCCAACATTTACACGTTTCCAAGTTTAACAATGTATAGTACATTGTTTTGACAATAAATTTAGCCTCTGATATCCGTTGCACCCTAAAATCGATGGAGTGGTTACTGAAATGGTTACGAAATGTACAAACAATTGCGTTTTTACTCGGTTTTGGTCCGGAAATATCGCACCGCATTTTGAACAGAGCACAGACAGACACATCATGACAGTCATTCGTAATTGTTGTTAATTTTCCACTCGCTTTGAAAGGTGGGGTTTTAAGTATAGGAGATTGGTGAAAAGTGGGATAGGGAAGATAATTGATATGATATCCCCCTACTTAAAAAAGTGGAAAGGGGCGTGTTCCCCTGTTCCCTCACCGATCGACGCCCATTGGCATAACGGGCTTCTGAAATAAACTATCAAGTTACACATTTAATTATGACACATACCTTAATAGTTTTGTTGATAATACACCACGGAAATACCCTATAGGCCCAATACAGCAAACTATAGAGTTTTCTGCTAGAATACAACCTATGGACCATTTCCGCCATTAGTACACATGGTTATTTTTGGCAAAGTTTATCTTAAAAGTTGTGGTCATAAGATGAATTTTAAAACAATATTAACTAAGATTATTAGGTTAAACTTTTCACGTCGGCGCGTGTAATTTGTTTGTTTTGGTTTTTCTTTCGAAATTGGCTCTATCATGTGTATACATAATAAACAATCAGAATGCTATGCTATTTAAAGAATGGACTTCCTTATGCTGTGGTTATATTAGACTGTAATATTTTCTTAAAGAAGATCACTCGACAAACAACATAAAAAAAATCCCACGTCGGTGCATGCAGAAAATGTAATTTCCTAAAATGTGGATACGAGATTGACTGTCACTAAAATTCTATGTACCCATCATGATATTTCATGGAGCATTTAAAGATTTGACTTCCTTATGATTTAGGCCTAAGGAAATATAAATGTATATGGGTCTGAACTTTAAAGGTGATAAAGTGTGCGTCATGTCGTGGAGAATGTAATATCATGAAAGACCTTTCAACAAACAACAATGAAACATACATCTTTTACGTTAAACTTTCCACTTCCATGCATGCATGTAACGTAATTTTTTGGATACATGATATTTCATGACAGTCAAGAATGTACTGATCATATAAATTCAGGGGCGGATATGGGTTTAAATTTAGGGGGTGGGGTCGAAATGTTTCCAAAAACCCCAAAAAGAAAGGGGGTCCTGGAAAATTTTGATTCCTAGATGGCGGGAAATGAGCTTTCCCAACTTCTGAGGTGTCTTTTTTAAGTTCTTCAAAATTCAAGATTTTCCTCCTTTTAAAAACAGTCGGGTAAACTTTCTAATTCTTATTACAGTAAATAGGTGAATTAGAAGCTTGATATCTTCGTTTAGTTGAAATGGAAGACTCAAAATCCCCAAACAGTGAGCAGCATCTGCCATGAAAAAGTTACAAATGTGAACAAAAAATGTAATTAGAAAAACAGATACAATAATAACAGTGATCTTTTAGTAAAGCCCCAACATTGTAGTATAAGCTTCTGGTAATCCAGTGGTCACAAATTTATCAAACTACAATGTCTAAAATTAGTATTTGGTCCTTGTACAATATGTAAATTGTAAGCATTCAAGTGGATTCATAAGTTTAAACAGGCCTATCATATATTTTTTTAAATATCTGTGGAGAGAAGAGCACTCAAAATAAAATGTAAAAAAAAAATATTACTGCATGTGTGCTTACATTTTCGATCATCGTCATTGTCAACCTCCAGCATTTTTTCCTTCATTTCAGTAATAATTTGTGGTTGCTGCTTCTCAAATTTCCCTCTCGGCCTAGGCAGTCGTGATAGGGGCAAAAGATATGTATCTGTCCTACAGTTTATCTCATCTTTTGCATTACGGCCAGTGAGTCTCACAAATTCTGCAAAAAGCTGAAACAAAATGCTGAAGTTCAGATCAGATGCATCCACAAACATACTTTTTAAAAATGGAATCCACTTATTTAGAAGTTAAATTTAAAGGTCTCTAATTTTTAGTAATGGGATAGTGTTCATATTTCAAAATAGGTGTTGATAAATGTACCGCAGATGATGGGCTATAGCCAACAAAATGAAAATATTGGGAGCACTTTGCAGAACTGTGGTTCCTATGGAAAATGGACACACAAAATGAAGAAATACTATAGAAGAGTAAAAAAAAAGACTTAAAAAGACATACACTTGTTGACAATATTATGAAGATAGTACCATACCGTAAATAAATGCACAAAAATGAGAGTATATGAAACACAAATTTTTAGGGAAAGTAGAAGAAGACATGAGTCAAATTTCTACAACTGATGTAAACTGCCAGGAGCTGTCAACTACTAAAGTATTCAGGACTAAAGCTGATTGTGATACACAATTCGTAACTCACATCACAAACTAACACAACCAAAGTGGATTTTGTTAGTTTGTGCAATTAAAAATTGTGCCAAAAATGCGCTGTTGCTGTTATGGTCTTTTCAAGTGGAAAAGAATAAAAATATGCGCTCGTTTAAACGCACTTCTTTAAATTCACAATTTACTTTGACAGTACAGTTTGTGATGTGAGCGACAAATTAGTCAACGTCCATATAAAGGCCAGGACACAGAGAGGATATATTATCATATGTGTAATGAATTAAAATATTTATTGGTGTTAATACTTTGATAATTCCTAACAAAAATCAGTGATAGTTGACATCTTTGAAATTATCACTGATTTGAAATCATAAATTACATGTACCTCATCTGAGTTGAACAGCAAAGGGTACTTGGTCTTCAATACGGCTATTGATTCTGGTGCCAGGATATCCCCTCTTCTGTCAGGAGGTCATGTTCATACGAAAGGATATGTCTTTATCATTGCGTTTCTTAATTTCTAGCTTAGACTGTTGTTGTAACCAATTAATATGACACTAAAAAACAAAATGTTTTTACTTCATTACCAGGAAAAAAACACAATAGACAAGCTAACCTGAGATAAAGACAAGAAGAATACAATAAATGTTTCCGTGGTTACGTAACAAAATACTGCACTGCCCTGCTATTCATCACTACCTTAACAGCCTAGGCCCAGTTGAGTCATAGCCTGGGAATGTCGTGGGCCGGCATGACACAGTTGCTGTACATTCAAAAGTATCATTCCCCACCCCCAACCGATCATCCCCTCCCCCACCCCGGGAAAACGCGGGATGATCGCCGACTGGCACCCCAAAAAGCTGGTGACATCCCTACACGCGAGTATTAGCGTGCACCGACCATGGAGGGATTATTGTGCACACTGCACATTCCCTTCTGTCTGGGCTCCCCGCTGGCTCCGTCATTCATCATCATTCATAGCCTGCTACACAGCAGTACTTAGGCCTAGGCCCCTAGTACTAGCAGCCTCTCTCACCCTATAGTTAGGCCTATAGGCCAGGTCTTATGGACGCTAAACTTAGATCACAGGATGGATATTAGGCCTAATTATTAAAGTAGAACTAAAATATTTGTTTTTCTGTAGTGCACTTACCAATGAACAGCAGGACGAACAATCTTCGAATGCACCAGGCAGCTCGTTCCCCCTTCGAGAAAAAAAAAAGCGCGCATATCTTGGCTCCCAGCCATGGGCGCGCACCATACGGGTTCACAATGCGTAATCGGGGTCACGTCTGCTGATCATCGATCTGAGCTTAGGGTAGACTCAAAATCAGAATTTATGGAGATAGAATGATTCTCATATAGAATACACGAGGCAAGATTCTATTTGTGAATCACTATGATTCTTTTAAAATTTTGAGTGAATAATACCGCCCAACTTAATTGTAAAACGAAACGTTACTCAAATAAATAGCCCAATACAATTCCATAATTACATTAAACTTATATTAACCAACAGCAAACATGACACGTTTGTGTATAAGAGACAGGGGGGGGGGCGGGCTCCCCCACTTTTTGGCAAAAAATATATAATGTCTGGATATTTTTGTAGGATCGGAAAGAAATGCAGGAAAAGAAAGAGGGAAGAAGGAGGAGAAGGATGGGAAAGAGAATGTTTATCCAGTCCCCGACCGAGTTACATTTTCTCATTGGCGGATCTGGGGGAAGGGGGTCATCGGTCCTGACCCCTCCCTAATTCACATTGGCGGATCTGGGGAAGGGGTTCATGGGTTCTGACCACTCCCTTAGGCAACAAATAAAAGAAAAAAAAAAAAGAATTCTAGACCTACCTTTTCAGAACCCGTGAGCTGTTTTTTTTTTTTTTTTTTTTACACTTAAGAAAATTAGAATTTTGAAGAACATAAAAGTCATTAAAACACAATTCAAATGTCGAAAAAGCTCATTTCCCGCCATCTAGGAATCACAATTTTCCAGGGGGCGAACCCCCGGACCACCCTTTCTTTATCGATTCATGGAAAAAAGAATACGCATGCAACTACTCATTTGTTCATGTGTATACACACATAAAATAAAAAATCAGAAAAATTTACCTGACCGTTTTCAAGAGTGGAAAACCTTGAATTTTGAAGAGTTTAAAAAGTCATTTATAAAAGACATTTCAGAAGTCAGGAAAGCTCATTTCCCGCCATCTAGAAATCGACATTTTCCCGGGGGAACCTGGACTCCCTTTTTCTTTGGTGTGCATTGATTCATTGAATCATTTTCAGGAGGGGGAAACCTTGAATTTTTAAGAACTTAAAAGTAATTAAAAGACACCTCAGAAGTCGGGAAAACTAATTTTTCCGCCTTCTAGGAATCAAAAATTTTCCCGGGGGAGAACTCACGGACCCCCTTTCTTGTGGGGATTTATCGATTCATGGAAAAAAATTCGTATTCAACTACTCATTTTTGTTTTATTTTTATGTATGTATACACACATAAGGCCTATTTACTGTAAAAGCAATGGGAAAAATTTACCTGACCGTTTTCAAGAGGGGAAAACCTTGAATTTTGAAGAACTTAAAAGTAATTAAGACACCTCATAAGTCGGAAAAGCCCATTTCCCGCCATCTAGGAATCAAAATTTTCCAGGGGAGAACCCCCGGACCCCACTTTCTTTTTAGGATTTATCGATTCATGAAAAAAAAAAAATTCGTATGCAACTACTCAATTTTTTTTATGTAGGCCTATGTATACACACATAAGGCCTATTTACTGTAACAAGTGAAAAAAAATTACCTGACCGTTTTCAAGAGAGGAAACCTTAAATTTTGAAGAACTTAAATTAAAGTCGCTAAAAGATACTTCAGAATTCGGGAAAGCTCATTTCCCACCATTTAAAAATCAACATTTTCCCGGGGAGAACCTGAACCTCCCTTTTCTCTTTGGGTTTATTGATTCATTATAATAATTTTCAAGAGGGGAAATCCTTGAATTTACTTAAAAGTAATTAAAAGACACCTCAAAAGTCGGGAAAACTAATTTCCGCCTTCTAGGAATCAAAATTTCCCGGGGAGAACCCCCATACCCCCCCCCCTTCTTTTTGGGATTTATCGATTCATGGGAAAAAAATTCGTATGCAACTACTCATTTTTTTTAATGTATGTATACGGTACACTCATAAGGCCTATTTACTGTAAAAGCAATGGGAAAAAATTACCTGACCGTTTTCAAGAGGGGAAAAAAAGCTCATTTCCCGCCATCTAGGAATCAACATTTTCCCGGGCGAGAACCCCCGGACCCCCTTTTCTTTGGAGCTTATCGATTCATTGAAAAAAGAATACGTAGGCCTACGCAACTACTCATTTTTTTATGTATGTTTACACACATATCAGGCCTATTTACTCTAATAAGAATGAGAAAGTTTACCTGACCGTTTTCAAGAGGGGGAAAACCTTGAATTTTTAAGAAAAAAGTCATTAGACACCTAGCTCAAAAGTCGAGAAAAGTCACCCGTCATCTAGAAATCAACATTTTCCCGGGGGAGGACCCCGGACCCCGTAGATTTGATTCCAGATCTGCATGATTCATATTCCCATTCATCTTATAAGTGGGTGTCTCCCCCCCCCCCCTTTGAAAAACGTTCCACCGGCCCTGATATACAGTAGGCGTAGCCTAGTTGGGCATGAGAGAAGTGTTGGTCTTGAATCAGGTGGATGCATGTAAGGCTTATCTGAACTACTGACATTCAAAAGAACATGAAACATTAATCAATTGCTGTCTCTTATACACATCTAGATGTGTATAAGAGACAGGTTGGAAAAAAATTCGTATGCAACTACTCATTTTTTTT